TCAAATGATCTAAATGGACAAATTATCTTTAGTAAGTAGTTTTAAGAATTTCTTAAAAGGGAAATCTGAATGAAAGAACATTATTTTTTTCATTGAAGTACTGATGGATGAGATTTATTTAATTTTGATCATTTAAGTTAAATTTCAATAAAATCTAGTTTGACAGCCTTAATTATTAGTTCTTATATATTCAAGAAATAATGTGTAGTCATAGATTTCTCGCCAGTTAACACCTACTATTAAGATGTATGTGAAATCCTATGATAAAAGGTACTTCTCTAGAGACGTAAACCAGCTTCACTACAAGTTATTGTAGTAATGATGAGTAAATACGGTAATGTTCAAATCTTAATTTAATAAGTTCAGCATAATGTTTTTTGTCTTAAGTAATTTAGTTTGATGAAAATATCTCGGTGGCTCAATTTCATGGAGTGGTTGAAGTTAGACATTAACACCGTTGGATGCCAGCCAGTTCAGTGGTGTAGAGGTTAAGCGTTCTCGCGCCAGACTGGTAAGACTTAGGTTCGAATCTCGCGGAGCGGGATTGTGGATGCGCACTGCTGAGGAGTCCCATACTGGGATGAAATCGCCATCTAATACTTTTAGGTTTTCTATAGTGGTTTAACTTAAATTAACTCATGAAGTCAACTAGAAAATATCTCTATTTATTTATAATGTAATTAAATCAACAAACGTTTGTTGAATATTTAAAATGTAGAATTTCTAAATAATTTATTCATATGTTTACCTTGATACTTATTATGTTTTAATCAATGTACACTATTAGGTAAAGCAATAATATAAAAATAAATTTGACCTTAAATACAAGAATAGATTAATTAATAATTCAAATGGACTTTTATGATAATAATTTAACTAGACGTAAATAGGATCGAAGAGTTTTATAAAACTTTCTTCATATAATCAGTTTTCATTTTTATCCTATTGTATTATGGAATTTAAGGATTATTAATTTCAATAGTTTAAAACATGAGTCAGTTGAAGCTCGACCACTATGGAAAACCTGGAAGCACTGGAAGGCCATTTCGTCCTAGTCTGGGACACATTAACAGTGCGAGTCCTGCCTCCATGAGATCCGAATCCGAGACCTATCAGTCTTGCGCGCTGAGCCGGTCCGCATCCAACGGTGTTAATGTCTAACTTCAATTAATCCACAAAATTGAGGCACCGTACACCATTGTCTTCACAGAGTTACTATCTCACAACTGACCCGGTTGAACTCCACTGGTCACTGCCTCTCACTAGAACTCCAGGAAATACCTCTTGAAGTCAGTCACTAGTGAGCCTACAATAATAATTATCAGAAACGGGGTTTTGTGGAGATTGTAGTAATTTCAATAGCTGAAATCATGAGTCAATTGAAGCTAGACCACCATGGAGTTGAAGTTAGACATTAACATCATTAGATGCTGGCTCAGTGGTATGATGGTTAAGCGCTCTTGCGCGAGACTTATAGGTCCTGGGTTCGGATCTCGCGAGGGGTGGGATCGTGGATGCGCGCTGCTGAGAAGTCCTATGCTAGGACGAAACAGCCATCCAATGCTTCCAGGCTTTCCATAGTGGTCTAGCTTTAATTGACTCATGATTTTAACAATTGAAATTACTGAAAATTATCCACAAAACCCCTTACGCTTATTAATTTATAAAATTATTTATGAATTAATTTATTTACATTCAAGACAATATGTTTATAGTGTAATTTTATTATTATAGACTACATAACAATTTGTTAAAATTACAATTTTGTAGGTGATAGGGTAGTTGTAATATCATGTTAACAGGATAGCGTAAACTTGGTTACCATGAAGTTTGTAAAAGATGTATTTATTTTCTTTGAATTCCACTTATTTAGTACTAGTGAAATGATAATGAAATGGAATATATAGAATTGATCCCTGTAATCCCAAATTCGATTAAGTTTTTAGTGATATAATATTTTATATACAGAAATATAGTTTGATTATATATGTTGTTTTAGTAATAAATGTCAAGGTTCAAATATATTGAAAAGAGTAAAGAGAAAAGATTCGTTGATTTTTGTTCTTTTCAAAATGGTAAAGGGAACTATGCGTATGAAAGATTGAATATTTGTTTACTATATTTTCTTTTCAAATCATATTCTACATATACATAGTTTTATTTTTGAAAAAATCATAGATATTATCATTACTTCAACTTTTTTGGTATTATTGTTGTTAATTTCATCTCAGTGTATCGATGTCCTATGGTAAATTATACTGATATATTGTTATAACTTGTGACTGCCGATTGAAGAGCAGTGAATTATCGATCGAATCAATGACGCGTAAAACCCGTACGAGCAGTCTAGAGTCTTGATTGGTCTCGCTTCCTGTCCAGCCCAGTCAGTTAAGTCCAGAACACTAATCCGAGCCTCTGCGATATGAATCATGTATTTCAAACATACTCTGTTTATATACCAATCAACCAGACCACAACGTGCTATAAAATAGGAAATAACATTTGTACAAGTTTTGGCCAAAAGTGTCTGTGAATGAGGGAGTTAGTGATTAATAGACAGGGAATAATTCAGGAATGGAAAATCGTATAATAACAGTTCATAGGTTAAAATAAAGCTTATAATAAGAGAGACATGAATATGAATTGTTTAGTTAATCAACAATTATATGATAAAATATACGTTTGGTATTGGTCCACAAATGGATCCCAAAAATTACCACTCATTATTTTTATCCGGGCATAACATATATAAAAGTATTTTATTATGATGAATTAACTATTTGATCCATTACATTCGTACTTGATTGGTTTTTTATTTATAACGTTATTATTGCTAGGTTTCTGCCTCAAAGAGCTTAGTGCATAACTCAAATGATTCATCTCTGTACGTTTATGCTTTTAAGGTATAGTTGTGATGTAAAGAAATCCTATAATGTTTTTTTATGGTTAACAGTATCAAAAATATATATTGAAATATCATACAATTCATTTGATAATTCAAGAATTATAACCGGACTGCAGAGTAATGTCAATTGATCTTCTATCTGCTTAAGTTGCACTTATTTTGTCCTATTAAACAGTGTACTTACTTAAGCTGTTATTACTCAAAGAGTACTGTTGTTAAAACGTACTTTAAAAAAGTTGAACAAAAACAAGTCACTGCGGATCTAATCTTTTTCACCTTATTATTCATTGATCAGAATTCACCACAAATGAAATTCTATATATTCTACATTAGCGCGTAATTTAGTTAAATTTTATATGTTGATATTAAAATGTGTTGATAGCAGATGAAGTTTGTCGTAAGCCAAATAAAAGTCTATCAATTTGACCCTTCTAAATAATCAATATGAATGCGAAATTATATTTGCTTGAAGAAAGGTATAGTGTTTAGAATGCTGGTAGTGACCTATGAATATATTTACAGAACACTTCCTTTTTCAAATGCGTTAGATATATATTTGTTGTCATTATATTATATGTTATTAACACAATTTATAATGGTACAGCTTTGAATCGATTCCTGAATACTTTTAAAAAATATTACAAACTAAATTCATTAGTGAAATATCAATTTAAATCTGCTGTTTATGTAAAAGGAGGATGGTGACCAGCAGTGGAATCCAGAACACCTGTTTCGTCCTATTTGGGACTCGTTAGTTGGATGTGCCTGGACCTCAGAGTTAATGTTCACTCTGTGGCTCGAACTTAAACGCCATCGCGTTATCCACTTAGCTACTGGGTCCACTGCTAGTAACTATCTGTCTTTGCGTATAATGCTTGTGAATTAAGGCACAGTATGCACATATGCCAATAAGAGACTGATCGATTGCAGTCCTAAACATCAATGGGAAGATTCAAACAAATAATATCAAGTGAATTCAGACTGTTTATGGTTATAAAATAATGAAGGTATTTACTTTTTTTATATTCTTTACCAGAAATATAAATATAGGTAAATTGTTTATAAAAATCTATCCTTCATCCTAACTTATTTTATCCTCTATGCACTCCCGCATGTTTAGAATCGAATCAGCCTAGTGATCTTTGAAAAATACTTATTTGTTATTATCGTGTAATCGTGAATATTTTCATAGAAGCGCTGGCAGAATTTTATTACCTAAGATACTAAAACTTTGGTTGAGTAATTTCTTGATTGTAACATTTTCACAGTTGAACTCGCTAGCTGCTTTTAGCGTTAGATGTCGAGACGGGAGGTCCTGGATTTTATTCCTGCATGCCAGGTCCCGGACACGCACTTCTAAGGAGCTCCACACTAGGACGAGACGGTCGTTCATTGAATGCACGTTTTCAATGGTGGTCTAACTTAGATCAGATTTTGATTTAAATTGTGGAAATTTCTCGGAAGTGAGCTTATAGCACGTGTTCATATCATTTGAAGAATCGTTGAAAAACAAGTAGGATTCGGAAGCTTTTCAACGATAAAATTCTACGACTTTCAATGAACATTTAGTTCTTAGTAAATTTCACAAAGTCTTTGTCGAAAGCTGTGACTCACGGGGTCGATTCACAGAGAAGCATGATATTCATCCTATGGTTTCACTGTGTTACAAGAGGTACGTTATTTTATTTACTGACTGAAGCTAACGAATGTGTATCACGGAATACCAACATAGGTTCCATGAAGTATCGTTAATCTTTTTCAATACCATGTGTGGTCAGTGATGTACATTGTTCAAATAGAGAGTCTACCTAGTACTTTCTGCTTCTTAATAGTTCTCCAGTTAATATCAACGTATGATAAAATCAATCATCTGCTTTATATCTGAATCATTTGACTGTAAATGTAGTGGATTCTGATATCTCGACTCATTCAGGTTGATATCTATATTAGATTGGTTGATATAAAGAATTTTTGAATTGTATGAACGTTGATTCTTTTTATTATAACTTGATAGTTTATCCTTCGGAATTTGTTTTATCTTAACTTTTCAGATTATCCCATGAATTTCTATCAATAAATTTAAAACAGTTTAACTATGAAAGATTCAAATTATAAAGATACTAAAATTTCATTGTCAAAATCCAAGGAATTCTTTATACATTATCAATTGTTGATGTGGAAAAATTTCTTACTTCGTAAACGACGCCCTGGATTTCTTTTAGTTGAAATCTTAGTCCCTTTGATGATCCCAATTATTTTAGTTGGAATACGAACTGAATCACCACCAGTAAATGAGAACACATGCCATGTTCGTTCAGTAAATCTTCCAACAATGGGTTTATTCAGTTATCTACAGTCAATTGTTTGTAATTTCCTTTATCGTTGTCATTCTATAGATCCTGATAGTACTTCTCAACAGTATAATTATACTGTGTTTGGTAATTTACTTGAGAATATTTCTAGTATTATTGGAGATTTGTTGGCTGAAAATGTGTAAGTATTACTTTATTAAAATATATTACTTATCGTCATTTTATACCATATAAAAAATAATGTGTCCACAGTTATATAACCTTCAGATTGTGTAATGAAATGACTACTATCATTTAAAAATGGAGCGCATTTATACAGCATATTTAAGGAAATTCGATAAGCCAGTTACTTATCAAGTTTAAAAATTAATGTGTTGATGAAAGGAAAATGAATCAAAGACGGATAGAGTATAGTACAGAATGAAATATCAGTTCGCACATTCCTTCGAATGCTGACGAGATTAAGGACTATTAGATCTATGTTCAGAATGCGGATAAATTGTTTTCGAACCCTTGGAATACACCCAAAATGTTTGTTAACTTAGGCTTCATCTAAAACAGTCAACTGCCTATTATACATAACAAACGTAATTGGTTTATACACAATAAAATATGTCACTGCAAATAAATAAACTTAAGTATTCTGACTAATGTCTACTTTTAAAAAAGGTTTTATGGAGATCTTAGTAATTTTATAGTTGAATTCATAAGTCAATTGGAGTTAGACCACTATGGAAAACTTGGAAGCACTGGATGGCCTTTTTTTCCGAGTATGGGACTCCTCATGGATTCAACTATAAAGTTACTAAAATCTTCACAAAACCCCGTTTCTGATAATTATACTTGTAGGCTCACTAGTGACTGACTTCAAGAGGTATTTCCTGGAGTTCTTATGAGAGGCAGTGACCAGTGGAGTTCAATCGGGTCAGTTGTGAGATAGTTGCTCTGTGAAGACAATGGTGTACGGTGCTTCAATTTTGTGGATTAATTGAAGTTAGACATTAACACCGTTGGATGCGGACCGGCTCAGTGGTGTAGAGGTTAAGCGTTCGTACGTGAGGTCGAAGGTCATGGGTTCGAATCTCGCGAGGCAGGATCGTGGGTGTGCACTGCTGAAAAGTTCCATACAAGGACGAAACGGCCATCCAGTGCTTCCAGATTTACCATGGTGGTTTGGCTTCAAGTGACTCATGAATTCAACTATATAATGTTTATTTCAGTAATTCACGATATTAATTTATTCGTCAACACAAGTGGGACTATCTTACGCCATTATACAAACAACGAATAATGAAACTATAAGAAGCAGTTTCAGTTTTGAATTTACGTTTCTTATAAATAATCGTCTTATTCTTTGTTAATTATCAAAACGATTATCAAAGAAATTGTTGCCTATATGGAATTACTGGATTAATTAATAGTGTATAAACACTCAATATGTATGTAATACTATAAAATGCATTACTTAAGGTATGAAATTAGTGAATTCATAAAAATCTGTCATTCAATATTTCAATGATCATCTTAAATAAAGCTTTGATCATTTTAAGTATCTTAGAACTTAACAGTTTTGACAATTTGATTGATATTACTCGGTATTGAACTTATCTAGATTAAAGCAATTTTTTTGGTGTCGTTCAATAGTTTCAATTGTGACATGCATATTGCTACATTTCAAGTATATATATATATATACATATATATATATTGAAATGAGTGTTTGATTGATAATGACTGTAAGAAAGCAGGTCATATTAAATTAATTTTACTTTTAAGTTTAAACTAATCTTTCTTTCATAATAATAAAATTGTAAACGAGCATCATATGTTTATCCTATGGTTTCACTGTATTATAAGAGGTACGTTATTGTATCTACTGATTGAAGCTAACGAATGTGTATCACCGACTACCAACACGGGTTCTATAAAGTATCGTTAATGTCTTTTTTCTCAATACTATGTATGGTCACTGATGTACACGGTTTTATTGTAATAATACGTTTGATACTTAGCAATAGAATACAATTGCATTACTAATAATTATGATCATTGAAAAATCATACTAATTAATTGATATCTTAAAGATGTATTTTATACAAATAATAACTGAAGGGATGGATATATCAATTTGTTAAGTTAATTAGTTTATCATTGACATTGAAAAAGTTGACGTCATTATTGTTTAATATTTAGTTTATGATTTGTTAAACATGATATTATCAATAGTGTTACTAATTAGGAATAGTTGTATCATGATAATTATTCAGTAAGTAAGGATAAACTGGTATTTGATAGTTTCTGTATACAGAATTACTATGGATGTTTTGGAATTCTCAATGATTATTTATTCTTTTGATAGTACTAAGCAACAATGCCAGAATGTTTAAGATGCACTCCTCCTTCTCTAAATGCTTCACATATATTGGAAGTCTAATCAGCCCTAATAGGTTGATGTGTGATGAAATCTCAGCATGGATTCGAAAAGCTCTTTTGGCTTTTGCCAACTAACGTTATATATGACGAAGACGAGATATCTGTCTATCAATTAAGGGACGAGTATACTGTGCGACAGTTCGTTCCGTCCTACTTTACGGCTGTGAAACGTGGCCATTAAGAGTAGAAGATATCCGTAAGCTACTAGTATTTGACCACAGTTGTCTTAGAATTATTAGTCGCATCTGCTGGGATCACCGGGTAAGTAATAGTGAGGTTAGACTTGGGGTATTAGGAAATGATGGTAAGTCAGTTGATGAGGTTGTAAACGTTCATCGACTGAGATGGTTGGGCCACGTGTTACTTATGCCTGAACAGCGATTACCTCGACGCGCAATTCTGACTAGTGTTGGGGATGGCTGGAAGAAAGTTAGGGTCGGTCAAACCAGAATGTGGCATCTGTCCACAAAGCCACCAACTTCTGGTCTGAGCCATATTAGTAGACTCAGACTACTTGATTAAAGTCCACGTGACTATCATAACCAATGGTTGGAGACTCTGGGTGATATGGCTCAGAATCGATCACAATCACTTTATGTTTTCCCTTAAATTATGAGATTAAAATCGCTTCATATCTTTCTTTCTACGAAATAATTCTTTCCTGCTGTATTATGTCCTTATGTGCAATCTTTCACTTATATATTACCACCAGTGAATAAACTACTTCTATGAATCCGGTATTCATGTTCTTGTGCTTCCGCGGTATGGCAACTTGAACCAATGAACATATGTGCCTGGTCCTACGTAGTAGCCGACTGACTGATTCTTTCAAGCCAATAGAATTTTGTATGAATCGTATAGTTGATATGCATTTGTTGTTTGAATCTTCCTATTGATATTTACGAGTTCAATTAACCAGTCTCTTTTTAGCATATATCATATATTTTATTGAAGAGTTATATATGGGGCGAAACGAACATCTTGGATACCACTGCTAGCCACCATCCATCTCTGAATAAAAAATCATTTAACTGTTAGTTTAGCTTTGAATTGAGGTGAAAGTATCGAAGGTTTTACTATTTTAACAAGGGATTTTTTGATAGATCAAGTATTTATGATAAGTCAGTGTTTATGAAGATAAGTTGATATGAAAGGAACTAACGAGACTGAAGTCAGGCTTTGTTGAACGTTGTTTTTAAATGATACTGATTAAATTAACAATCGGTTCGTAAGAAAGTGATATTGATTGAAAGAAGTGATATATATGATTACATGCATAGGTGAACGAGATTTAAATCTATAAACTGATCGTTGAGTGAATAAATGATACATCTCGTATACATCTCGTGTTGTTCCATAAAATGAACTGGTGTTTGACTACACGACTTCAACTAGTTAAATATCATAAAAAATGACAAATTCGATATTATATATTGAATGTCTATCGAGTTATATACCAATAAATTTAGTTTAGACTCGACAGTAATATCGTTTTAATTTCATTGTAACCACTATAAATTTCAAGGTATAGGAACGCTTGAAACATGGTCGTTCAATAAATGTTAGGTAGACTGGCTGATGGTAGTGTGCGATCTGTTACAAATTGTTGATTCTTGAAGGATTTATGAGATTTGACGGTGTATATGCTATTCCGCAGCTGATTAAGTAACATTCAATCCAGAGGGACTAAGGGACACAAAAATGCAGACGTAGTTAACACAATCGTTCATTTCTACATTACTTACTTACGCCTGTTACCCCTCGTCAAGGAGCAAAGGCCACTCAACAGCATTCTCTGTCCAAATTTGTCCTGGATAATCCTTCCCAGTTCTTTCCAGTTGCTATTCATTTATTTCATATCTGCTCCCAGTTCTCAGAGCAGTGTGTTCCTTGTTCTTCCTCTTTTCCGTTTCCCTTCAGGATAACAAGTTAGGACTTGTCTCGTGATGCAGTTTGGTGATTACCGTAATGTATGTCTTATCAATCTCCAAAATTTTTTCTTAATCTCCTCCCCAAATGGAAGCTGATTTGTTCTCTACCATAGTAGGTTGTTGATGATGATATCCGACGAATGGACATCGAGTATCATTCGTAGACAATTGTTTATAAATACTTGTACCCTTTTGATGATGGTTGCGGTTGTTCTCGAAGTTTCAGCCCCGTAAAGTAGAACTGTCTTGACGTTCATATTGGAGATTGTTACTTTGATATTGGTTGACAGTTGTTTTGAGTTCCATATGTTCTTCAACTACGGGACTGCTGAAAACCTTTCCTGGTACTGACGGTAGTTTGATGCCTCAGTAGCTTCACATTTTTTCAGATCTCCTTTCTTTAGTATCTTGATGAGGTACCCTCCTTTCCATTCGGCCGAAACTTGTTCTTCCTCTCAAATCTTTATGGACAGAACGTGAAGCATGTTTGCAATTACTTCTATTGTGGTGTGTGCTACTGATATCGATAGATATAAGTAGTATGTATTGCCAATCGAAAGTAAAATGTCTAGAGGCAGAAGGCTAAGAAGATCGAAGAAAAGAGAACGAGAACGGAGACTGATTGCTGTGAAAATGAAGGATCAGTAAAGTCTGAGACAAATGATTGACATTCTGCATATTGAGTATTTACTGTATGGTTCTCAGATTTTACTAAGAAATGCTGTAATTTTGTATTCAAATACATTATATCGCCGCCACTCGTGTTCTTGTTCACTACATTATAACTGACTTCAAAACTTCAGCTGATTCATTGTCAGGTTCTGCCGCTTTCCCACTCTTTATTGGTGTGGTGACGTCTATGGGAAGGTCCGTGTGTGCTGCTTGAATATCCGGTGGGTTCAGTGGAGCTAGTCTATTTAAGTATTCTACCTATCTCTTTCTCTGTTCTTGAATTTCGGTGATTGTCTTGTTTTGTCCTTGATCGATCTCTCTCGTTTACTATATTTTACTGCTAGTTTCCTCGTCGTGTCATATAACTTTCTCATATTTTTTTAATACAGTTTTTACTGCTGTCCTTACTAACTCTTCCACGTATTTCTGATTGTCGGCTCTAATGCTCCACTTCACTCGTTTGTTTACTCCTTGCATTGAATCTATGCCTTAACTTTCTCTGCTTTTTTTCGGCTGCCGTTGATTACTGTTTTTGTGTCTTTCCATTCTTTAATCTTGTCCAGGGTTTCGATAGAGATCCGTTCCTTATGATGATGCTTGTTGCGGCCCAGCACCTCCTGACACTTTGAAGTTAATGCTTCTTTGAACCCCTTCCATTTGTCCTCTATAGTAGTTTTCTATTCTTTGATTAGAACCTGTAGTTGATAGTTATTTTGAATTCGTTGAATTTGTCAGTACATCTATGGAAGGGTGCATTGAATCTTTGTACTACTGTTTCTTCAACTGTCCAATGTTTCGCTTCAGTTTCATCTCGGCCGCAACCAGGTAGTGATCTGAAGCTATTTCAGCTCCTCTCCTGGTTCTCACATCTTCCACTGACCTTGTGAGTTTTTTAGTGATGCAAATGTGATCTATCTGTTTTTTCCGTTGTGTGATCTGGGGAGATACATGTAGCTTTGTGTGGGAATATTGTGCTAAATGCACGTAAATTTGCAAATCACTATCCATTCACGTTCCTTTCTCCTAGTTGATGTCGTCCCATGATAACTTCATATCCGGCGTTGTCCATTCCAACTTTGACGTTTAGGTCTCCCATCAGAACGGTGAGATCCTTTCTTGTGCACTTGGTTATGATTGATTTCAGCCCCTCATAGAACTGATCTTTATCGTCGTCTTTGCTATTATTTGTGGGTGCATAACACTGGATAAAATTCATCAGGATTCCTTCCTTCTTTGCTTTGAAGGATGCTTTGATGATTCTAGATCCATGAGATTCCAATCCTATACGCGCATTACATACCCCTTTGGACAGCATCAGATCCACTCTCTGAATGTGTGGAGCATCTTCTTCTTCGTGATAGGAGTACAGCAGCATATTTGCTGTCCAATTTGGATCCAATGGGTTTTTCTGATAACGAGTATTACCAAGTTGTATCTCCTCACTTCCGTTGCTATTTGACTAATCTTCCCGGTATCTCACATTGTGCGGACGTTCGATGTACCTATAAAAATTTTTGCGCTGGTTGTTAACGATCCATTAATTAAAAATATTATTGATGTATTATTTGATCACTACCCTACTGATAAATGAACATAGTTGAACGGTCCTTCTTTTTTGTAATCGTAACAGAAGCAAAGAAACTATTTAAACAAATTTAATTATTAAATCAATATAGAGTTGTGAAAATTTCTGAGTTTTAATTGACATCATTAACTGATGTGAACAACCGAATGTATTTGAACACGAAATTACTGAATATCTGACTAAAATCTGAGAGCAATACAGTAAATACTTAATTTGCAAAATATCAATCCATTGTCCCAAACTTGACTATCCCTTTTGTAGATATCAGTCAATCGTCTCAGACTTCATTGTTCACTCGTTTCCACACTGATTATTCGTTGTTTTCATTCCAATTTCCTTGATTTCCTTAACCTTCTGTCTCCAGGCATTTCACTTCTGATTGATGATATATACTACACATATCTGTCGATATTAGTAGCACATACCACAATACCATTAATTAAAACATATCTGTTATCAGTTTACATTTTTAAAATAAATGACAAACGTATATCACTTATTATAAACTATTATTATTATCAAAGTTTGGTGAGACTATAATTTATGGACAACCTTTGAGCGACGCTAAAGTGATCAAGAGACTGTTCACATACTAAGTAGTATCATATGAGGTTTATAAACCATGGTGAGAAACTAAAATTAATATTTACTATTGATGATTAATTGTTAGGGATTAGTTTTATGGTTTTCATCACGAACTGACATCAGCTAAAATGCCAAAAATATCCTTCAACCAAATGGATTAGTGAATTTTGCACCAAAAATTCAAGATATTTTATTTTATATCTGATTGGCTCATCCATAAATTATAGTCTTGCTGATGATTCATCAAAATGAAACAAAAAAATGAAATAAACAAACGAATGTTACATAATTTATTGTTTTCCATTCATTGTTTATGCATTTTCATACCAATTTCTTTCCATTTCCATTTCTTTCCTCAATCTTCTATTAAAATATATTCTATTTTTGACAATTGTTATATACTACTTATATGAATATAAGTAGCTCATATGATAATACTACAATTTATTATAATGAAAAATGATTATCATTCTTTTTTCAAATTTTTTTATATTTATTAGAACAAAAGATTTTCAGCATTATAATGTTTCAAATTTCTTACAATTTATTAATAATTCCAATAGTCAATCATTCAAACAATTAAAATTTATCTTATTCAATATTCAACAAATTTATCAAGATATTTTTAATGAATTAATTTATGAAAATGATACTACAAATGAAAATAACAATAATCAATTAAATGAATTACATAATAATAAAACAATTAATTTTGGTATATTTAATATAACTATTAAACAAATTCATTGGTTATCCACTATCTCACGATTTATATGCGGTACAAAAACATCAAATTTAAATGACATTGGTCAATTAATGGAATTTTTAAAAGATATTGATTTTTCTAATTTATTTGATATAGAAAAAAAATTAACACGAATTCAACGTTCAATATCATTGACAAAAACAATGAATTATATAAATTCAATAAATAATAATTATAAAATTAATTGTATTACATTAGAGAAATTATTACGTAATCCATTATTTATAAAATATACAGGACGTATAAGATTTTTATTAAATGGTTATATATTTTATTATCCTGTTAATCAATGGACTAATGAAATTATGTATAGGGTAATGGAACCACAACGTTTATTAATATTATTAAAAAATACATTAAAACAATATCAATTACATACAAAACCAATATTAAATTATTATTTATCAAATACATCAATAATAATACAAATTAGAAAGTTATTAAACCTTTGTATATTACATTCTAATAATAATAATAATAATCATAATGATAATAATCATAATACCATATTACGTAATACCATTAGAAGTATTTGTATGAAAGCATTATATTGGTTAAGTCCTGAATTAAACAATTATTCTAATGAAACTAATGATTTATTAAATCAACCAATAATTTTTAATCGAATTAATAATATTATTGATATGATTATACAATTATTAGAATGTTTTCCTTTAGCAACACATATATATGGTGTAAATAATATAACAAATTTTAATTTATTTATGGATTTATTTAAATCACAAGTACATCCAATTGTTCAAGGTATTATTTTTAATAATACAATATTTTCATCTAATCATAATAATAATTATACATTAGATATGTTAAAAAATTCATCAACTATAGTAACAATACGTCAAAGTCCATATCTTATTGATGATACAAATAATTATAAAGTATTAGATTATACATGGCATCCAGGACCACGTAATAATATTCATGATGGGGATACAAAATATTTTACAAGTGGTTTTTTAGATATACAAGATTTAATTAGTAATGCTATTATAGAAATATCTAATAATATACCAGAACGTATCAAACGTTTAAATGATTCATGGAATATATGGAATACATCTCCATCATCATCATCATCATCATCATCATCATCATCTTCATCATCATCAATGGATTTATTGATTGGTAAACAAATGAAATTTTTTCCAACCACATGTTATATCAATGATAAATTTTTATATAAAATAACAAAATTATTACCACAATTATTAATACTTACATGGATATTAACATCTATGTTATTAACTAAATATATTGTAGAAGAAAAAGAATTATATATAAAAGAATTTACTAAAATTATGGGTTTTACAAATATAATACATTGGTTTAGTTGGTTTAGTAGTACTATTATTATTGTATTCCCTATAACTATAATCATTACAATTATATTAAAATATGGTAATATTATTATATTAAGTAGTATATTTATTATCTTTTTATTATTTATTTCATATATTATATCAATTATAATGTTTTGTTTTTTATGTTCAATATTTTTTTATAAAGCTAATTTAAGTGCTATTATAACTGGTTTATTTTATTTTATATTATATATACCATTACCAATTATATTAATGAATGAAAAATCAATTAATGAATTTATAATTTTATTAACATCATTATCAAATCAAGTAGCATTTTGTTTAGGTTTATATTCATTATTAAAATCAGAATCACAAGGTTTTGGTATACAATGGAATAATATATGGAAATTAAAATTAAGTGATACATTATATTCACCAGGTAAATGTATTATTATGTTATGGATTGATTCTATATTATATTTATGTATAACACTTATAATTGAATGGATTATATCAAATAAATATTATATATATCAATCATTTTATTCAAGAATTAAATATTATAATTGGAAAATGATAAGAAAACATGAAAAACATTCAATAGATTCAATTAATAATGTTGTTTATGAAAATGATAGAAATTTTCCATTCTATATAGAATGTAATACAGAATGCTTGCCAATTAGTATATCTATAGAGAATATAAGTAAAATATATACTAAAAAAACCAAACCAGCATTAAATCAATTAAATATAAATTTTTATCAAAATCAAATTACATCATTATTAGGTCATAATGGATCTGGAAAATCTACATTAATATCTATATTAACTGGTATACATAAACCATCTAATGGTACAGCATTAATTTGTGGTTATAATATACTTAATCAAATGAATATAATACGTAGAAATTTAGGTTATTGTCCACAATATAATATACTTTATGATTATTTAACAGTTATTGAACATATTAAATTTTATGCTAAATTAAAAGGTTTTAATGAAAAACAAATAAATAATGAATTGAAATATTTTACAAAATTATTAAATTTAAAAAATAAACTTTATGAACAAGTCAAAAATTTATCTGGTGGACAAAAACGTAAATTATCAATAGCTATAGCATTTATTGGTTATTCATCAATTATATTATTAGATGAACCAACAACTGGTATTGATCCATATTCACGTAGATCAATATGGGATTTAATAATAAAAATGAAATTAAATAAAACTATTATTATAACAACACATCATATGGATGAAGCTGATATACTTGGTGATCGTATAGCTATTATATCACAAGGTAAATTAAAATGTTATGGTTCTAATTTATATTTAAAATCAATATATGGTCAAGATTATTATTTAATATTAGAATATCAAAATCAATTATTAGATAATAATAATAATAATAATTCGATTGAAAGTTCTCATAATGATACTATAACAAATGAAGATTTTAATTATATTAATAATTATTTAAAACAATATATTAATGATATTAGTTTAATGGATTTTAATCAAAATGAAATGATATTTCGTATACCAATACATAATGTGAATGATGGTTCATTAATTGAATTATTAAAACAATTCGATTGTCAACAATCTGATAATAATAATAATAATAATCCAATGAAATTACCTATTGAATTAACATCACATGGTATAATGAGTTATGGTTTAACGGATACATCATTAGAAGAAATATTTCTTAGTATGGCTGATGATCCTGCAATATTATCACAAGATACAAATAATCAATTATGTAATAATATAACAACTAGTAATCAAAATGATAATCAATATGAAATAGATAAAAATCAATACAATATATCAGCGAATCAAACACAACAACAACAACAACAACCACCACAACAACAACAAATATTAACTTGTACACAACGTTCAATATCATCAACATTATTAAAACATCATCTTTATCATAAATATTATCATAAAACAAATAATAAAATAAAACAATCCAATGATATAACAAATATGAATTCAATATTTAATGAAAATATATCATTTAATCAATCTAATATAAAACAACAAATGAAAGCAATGTTTATAAAACGTTTACATTATTTTAAACGATCTAAATTAAGTATATTTATTGAATTTATATTACCAATAGGTGTATTAATTTTAGCTATAAAATCATCACAATTATTTATAAAATCATCATCTAATCAACCAATGATTATAACACCATGGCTTATGATAGATAATAAAAATAAATTACCATTAAATACATTTTATGAAAATAATTTATATGAATTTAATGATCCTATTGAAAATTTAATGAATAGATCATATCTTTTTAAATCTATTTTAAATATAGCATGGAATTATGAGAATATATTAAAAAAACCATATGGATGGACTAGTATAGGATGTTTATCTAATGAAACATTAAAACAATTGAATGGATATTATTATAAAATTTATGATCAATGTAATTTATCTAATATAAAATTAATTAAAAAAGAGCTAACATATAATGAAATGAAATATATACGTTCTATTCAACCATATGAATGTTTATGTAATTTATCATGTTCATTAAATAGTTTTATATCTAATAATCAACAACCAAGTTCTAAGATATTAGCAACTAAAGATATTTTTTATAATTTAACATCATATAAAGTATCAAATTATTTATTAAATACACAAAATCAATATATAAGACAAAGATATGGTGGATTAAGTTATCATACATTAAATTATCCATCATTTCGTAAAATTTCAAAATATTTATTACATCCAAATAATATATTAATATATTTATTAACTAATGTTACTAGTATCTATGATTTAAATAATAATTTAACAAGAATAGATACATTTTGGAATAATTTTATAACATTTTTACGTTTATCACTTCCATCTATATCATATTTACGTATATGGTTTAATAATAAAGGTTATGTATCTGGTCCAGTTTATTTAAATTCATTACATAATTTACAATTACATATGTTATTATATAATCAAACAAATTATATTCATCAAAATAATTTAACACATATTATATTTATTAATTATCCATTAACATTACCAGAGAAAAAATATTATAGTTTAGGTTTACCTAAAGAATTATTTGTTGATTTAACATTATCTTTATTTACATTACTTAGTTTATCTTTAATACCAGCAAGTTTTATATCATATTTAGTTAAAGAAAATAATATTGGTTCAAAACATTTACAAATTGTATCCGGTTTAAAACCATTTATATATTGGTTTACATGTTATTTATGGGATATTATAAATTATATAATATGTGGTATATTATGTATTATAATATTTATAATCTTTGAAAAATTAGCCTATATTCATATAGATGTAATTTATTCATTTATATTATTAATTATATTATATGGTATAGCTATTATACCAATGTTATATATAACAACATTTTTTATTAAATCATCAAGTACATCATTAGTAATATTATCAATATTTAATTTATTAATTGGTTCTATTACATGTATGTGTACATTAATATTAGATGATTTTTCAAAAAATAATATATTATTAGAATTAATTAATAATATATTAAAAATTATATTTACTATATTTCCACAATATTGTTTAAGTCGTGGTTTATTTGATTTAGCTAAACGTTATTATATTATAAATACAATAAAACAATATACAATGGATATAAATAAATCATCCTCTGCCTCCTCATCCTCCTCCTCATCATCATCATCATCATTTATACATTATGATACTAATCCATTGAATTGGAATATACTTGGTAATAAATTATTTGCATTATCCATTGAAGCATTTTTATTTTTTTTATTTGTTTTATTAAAAGAGAATAATTTTTTTATACAATCTATAAAATATTATTTATATATGAATTATCCAAAATTATTATCTAAACATAATAGAATATTGATTAAAAAACTTGATCAAATAAAATCTAATCATAATAATAATAATGATAATGATCAAAGAAATAATATTAATGAATCAATTATTGATAATGATGAACAAAATAATTCTGAAGATGAAGATGTACACGCTGAAAGATTACGTATTTTAAAGGTATGTGTTAAGTTTTGTTATTGTTGATGTTGGTGTTTTTGTTGTTGTTTTTGAAATGTTAATAAAACTTTTGGAATCTATTTGATGATAATATGATGTCATTGTTAAATATGAATAGATTAATATTGAATATGGTAATAATTGATATAAAACTAGTTGTTCTGTCTACTTAAATCTACTGATATTCATTGTTGATGTATTTGTTTGGTAAAGCAAATATTATACATTAGATATTATGTTGTGGAAATAATTGTAATGATTATTTCTATATTGGTATACTTTATTATTAAGGATAGGAACATAGATAACATATTCATTGTCATGAACATGAACCTTTTATGATATGATTTGGAAAATTTTTCCCAGTAATAAATATATTGTCTTAATTTTTGAAGAGTCCCAAAATAGGATGAAACGGCGGTCCAGTGCTTCCAGGTTTCCAGCAGTAATCTAACATCAATCGGTTCATGATCTCAATCAAAAACTTAATAATCTCCACAACTCCCAAAACTGATAATTAACATACGCTTACTAGTGACTAACTTCGTGAGGCAATTCTCGGAGTTCTAGTGAGCCGTCGTGACCAGTGGAGCTAATCTGTGTCGTGTAGAGATAGGTATCTACCTCAGTACAATGGAAGATGGTCATGCAATTTTGTGGATTGGTTGGTGTTAGACATTAACATTATTAGATGCCAGCTCAGTGGTCCAGTAGGATAAGCGTTCTTGGGCAAAACTGAAGGCCCTGGGTTGGAATCCCGCGAGCGGGATCGTGGATGCGCACTACTGAAGAGTCCCACAGTAGGACGAAACGGCCGTCCGGTGCTTCCAGGTTTTTAATGGTAGTCTAACATTAATGGGTTCATGATCTCGATAGAAAATTTATTAATCTCCGCAACCCCCTATACTGATATATTTCCAGAACATTGTGCAGTATAGTTACACAATCAAGAATCAACCTATTACTGAAATCTATTAAAAATTACGTTTTCACGATTTTGTATGTTATCAACTACTTTTATGACTTATCATTCGACTTGAAATTCTAAAGATCAAATAAATTTGATAATTTATTATATTGATCAATGTTCGTATCGTTCGTATAAAAAAAATCATTTATCTAACATTTATTAGATGAAAGGTAAACATTCCACTTAAATTCGTCTACCAATAAGGTAGAAATGATGGTAAGTTACATTTTATACTTCAAATTTTGTCCCTTTATACTTCTTATTACACCAGAGAATTTGTTTACTTCATTCTTATATTATACTACTTATGAGTAACTAAAAACTAAATAAGGAACGTTTACACCCTGGTCATAATATCAGATTATTTCCTTTAATTTGTTCCAGTAACCAATTATAATCACATTTGATTCTATGAAGCCAACTACTATGATCATTTTCATTTGCTTGTCAGTTGACTTCACACTCATCATACTGTTCAGTTTGAAGTATGCGTGCAATTCACTGAATTTTCACTCGTTATTTAGACTGCTATCTTCAAAACCGTCCAGAAAATCATTTTCTTTTTAAAAGGGATGTAAAGACAATTGATTAGTTTCTATTGACCACTTCTCATTGTTTCCAACGAAATATCTTACATTTGGGTATCTTGTACATGGTTTTACATTAACAGATTACTAAATGTGATTGTTCATGATAATTTATATCCTACGTACATGATTTCATGGAAAATAAACAATAATTTTGTCCATTAATTTTCATGCTTTTAGGAAAGATCAAATAAAGTACTTTTCCATCGTTCTGTTTCATTCCAACTATTGAAGCTTGTGCACTCATCGAAGGATGATAACGTTTCGTGTAGTATTGAAACATTGTTTTGAATTTTATGGGTACATTTCAAACATCCATTATATTGTAGTAGCTATAACTTGAAGATGATTCGATTATGACTATTAATGGGCTCTGAGTTCTGAATGAATATGAGATATTCTAAATTACTATAGCAAAACAGCGTAACACAATGAAAATAAACTTCATACAATTGAAAGGCTTATGAATAGGCGCCATTGTGGTTTACGCTAATTATATGAACAGATTTGAGTAGAATGTAGCAGGAATTGGAAGTTGAATGCTTACCAACAGAAAAGTAAAAGAGCGAGAAAAGGAAGAATGCACAGAGCGATCGGAAAAAAAAACGGGATTAGAAAAACGAGGAATTATGTAAAGGACAACTCAAGGAATAAATACAAATGATGTACTTAATGTATAATCTACATATTTTACAAAGCTGCTGTTTGATTTTATATAAAACGATGAATTACTTTTTCCCACCAATTCTTTGTTTAATACACCATTTAAGTGTAACATTAGGCAGATTTGCTTAAGCTTCAGTATTGATGTGGTACAAATTTTGATTATTTTGAATTGTTTTTATGTTTTTTACTGTACACGTTTCAAGTTTGACCAAAAAATTTCTCTTGGGAATTTCTAAATATGTACGATATAATTTTGAAAGTAAGCAACTGTGTAGCATCAGATAGTGATGTGAACAGATAACATTTCACAAGAGTCATCTTATATTTTACGTGCACAGATTTTTTAATGGCAAAGCGTAAGCATAATATTGATAAATTATTAACGTTTGCGAAAGCAGAATTCTTTATGCCAAGTATAAAATACGTGTAGAAACATTTTGTCTCGAACCAGACACTACTTTTGTTATTTAACGCTAGCTGGTGACGTTTCACTATTAGTTTACGTTAACAGTCTTTGAAAATCTCTTCACCCTACATAAAGCTTTCTGTGTAATTTCATTGACACAGATGTGATACAAAATATATTCCATGATTATCAGTCTTACTTGTAAGGGTTTGTACTTTACTAATTTTTTGTACTGTGAATTGATCAATTTCTATTACGTTCATGCTAAGCAAATCTTCTCAATACTACGTCTTAGTTTGTGGAAGCATCCATTTCCATAACAAATAATTAGTTTATAGGATACATATATGGTCAAATGAAAAACATTCCTGACGAATCGTAGTGATTGATATTTTGAATGAAAATGTTTATTAATCTTGTGCACAGAAAATGTATCTTCAAATTTGAGATGTTGTTTAAAGATTTAACTGAATATATAATGATCTAAGTGTTCTTTAGACACGACTAATAATCTTCAGTGATCGATAATATTAACACAGATTTCATAAGTGAGCTTTCGATGCAGAGTGATTGAAACACTTAAATATATACTTTCAATGTATTCAAGGATAAATGTTTTCAGTGAAACCATCAATTTTTTATGGAATATATGTTATATCATTTGAATATTGTCTTTTATTTTTAACTAGGCTGACAAAGAAGGTTATATCAATTCTCTATATTCAGTTGCTGTTATTGATTTAACTAAATTTTTCCCTCGGAAAAAGAAACCATCTGTCAATCGTTTAACATTTGGAGTTCGTCCAGGAGAATGTTTTGGATTACTTGGAGTTAATGGAGCAGGTAAAACTACTACATTTAATATGATTACTGGTAAATTAAATCCATCCATGGGAACTGTATATGTAAATGGATTTAATGTAGTTACACAAACTAAGAATGCACTTAAAAATTTAGGATATTGTCCACAATTTGATGCTGTTCATGATCTTTTAACTGGTAGAGAAACACTTACTTTATATGCTCGTTTACGTGGTTTTCCTGAAAAACAAATTTCAATAACTGTTAATGAATTATTACAAAATATGGGTTTATTACCATATGCTGATCGAATTACATCAATTTATTCTGGTGGTAATCGTAGAAAATTATCAACTGCTATTGCTATTATTGGTAAACCAAAAGTAATATTACTTGATGAACCAACTAGTGGAATGGATCCAATTGCTAAACGTTTTATGTGGGATCAAATTATATCACTTATTAAAAATGGTCGATCTATTATATTAACAACTCATAGTATGGAAGAATGTGAAGCATTATGTCAATCTATTGGTATTATGATAAATGGACAATTAAAATGTTATGGTAGTATACAACATTTAAAAAATCTTTATGGTAATGGTTATCGTGTTGAAATACGTTTAAATCATTTAATAACTAATGAAAAAATTAATCAATTAAAAAATAAATTTTCTAAAAAATTTCCTAATTCAATATTAAATGAATTACAATCATATTATTATGAATATCAAATGGATAAAGATATTCAATTATCAATATTATTTAAATTATTAAATAAAATGCAATTAAATCATATAATTGAACATTATTCTGTAAAACAAACAACATTAGATCAAGTATTTGTTAATTTTTCACGTAATCAAATATATCATGCAAAACAACAACAACAACAACAAAATAATAATAATAATACAAATACTACTGAATGAATAAAATAGAATATTGAATTAAACATATCCTCCCCTATCTTTTATTGAAATGCATTTATTTCAATGTGTTGCGATGCGGTATGGTAACTTGAATTGTATGTATGTATGGATGGATGGATGGATGGATCTACGAAGTTCTATGTTGTTGCTAACTGATGGACTGACTTACTGACTGATTACGATGATATAACAATCATGAATTGCATAAGTTACTATTATGATTATTATTATTAATTAAAAAGTAATGATATTACTTACTGAATTACTTATTTACGCCTGTGACTCTTAATAGAGTATAGGCCGCTGACCAGTGTTCTGTAACCCACTTTATTCTACGTCTTCCTTTCTAGTTCTATCCAATTTTTTTGTTCATTCTTTTCATATCTGTCTTTATATTTTGATGTAATGTGTTCTTCGGTCTTCCTCTCCACATTTTGGGCCTTAAGGATTCCGAGTCAGGGCAAATCAATATCATATCATATATACATATATATATATTATTATTCTTGAACACTCAATTGTTATTTTCTTTCTTAGAAAAAAGAAAACAAACATTTTTGACCAATATTTTTTATTATATGAAACAATCAAGTAAGTTTTATGAAAAAAAATTAGTTCCTTGTTTTTTTTTTGTTTTTGTTTATTATCGAATGTATTATTTTTTTAACCATTTTCAATTGTTGTTTACTCCAAGTAATAAATAAGTAATCATCGTAACTCAGATTTGTTCACTAGTTGTATACTAATAGCTTTTAATTTATTGAGTCTTCCAAAACAAGAAATAACCGAGAATGAATATGAATGTATTGATGAAATAGATAATATCAAGTAAATACTTGTGTATGAAACATTTACAATTTGATACAAATATAACATTTTGTTTTATTGTTATTATTATTATTTTTTACTATTCTTTATCGTGGATGCGCCCTTCTGAGGAGTCCCATACTAGGACGAAACGGCCGTCCAGGGATTTTAAGTTTACCATGGTGGTCTAGCTTCAAATGACTCATGATTTCAACTGTTGAAATTACTAAAATCTCCACAAAACCCCTTCTGACAAAATATATAAGTGAATTACAGTAATAAGTTACTGTAACATAACCTGATGATAAGTTCAGATGAAATTTTAAGGTCTGTAGAAAACTTATTTCAGTAATAATGTAGTGAACAATAACACATGTGCGAGACAATCGAAAGTATTTGAGCACAAAGTTACAGAGCATCCTACTGAATTCTGAGAACCATATAATAAATCGTTAATTTGTAAAATATCAACCCATCGTCTCAAATTTGACTGTTCCTGTTGCAAACATCAATCCATTATCTCAGATTTCATTGTTCATACGTTTTCAAGCCAATCGCGTTCTGTTCCTGTTCTTTCTTCATCGACCTTCTACTGAAATACATTCGATGCCTGATCACTGTTATATATTAATTGTGTGGATATAAGTAATGCACACCACAATAATAACTATGCGTTGTATCAAAATTTACCTTATGATTGAATCTTTAAAATAAAATTTAAATTCTTCAACGTTCTGATGTTAAGGGATTATTTCCTTTACTTTTAATCGTAATGAATTGTTTGTAATTTTCAAAAGGTACTGTCTCGTAACCTTACAAGGTTCATTAGAACAGATTTGATAATAATTATTGAATGATTATGAATAGTTATCTGTATAGAGTTAAGGTGATTGTTGGGTTTTAATTGATATCTTGAAAGGATGGATGTTAGTCCACCACCATCGAAAACCTAGAAGCACTGGACAGCCGTTTCATCCTAGTATGGGACTTCTCATCAGTGTGCATCCACGATCCCGAAAGCGAAACTCAAGCCCAGGACCTATCGATCTTGTGCGCAAACACTTAACCTCTAGACCATTCAATCTATATCTAATGGTGTTAATGTCTAACTTCAACTAATTCACGATATTGCACCACATTCCACCATTGTCTTCAGTGAGTAATTGCCTTTAAAACAAAAAATAAAGCTGTCAGTATTGATTCACTGTAGATAATGTGATAGGAAAATAAGGCTTGTTATCAATATGGCTTTTGGTATCTTAACTTAGAGGAATTATAGGTTCAACATTATTGATGACTGAACTAGTCTGCATTTCAAGTGAAAAGTAGCCATTACTAACGTAAGGTTATGCAACATGAATAAATCAATAGAATCTTAAACGTATTAATTTCATGTGCTGCTTTATTGAATTTCATTATCAAACGAATAATATTCATGATACTAAAGTGTGGTGTTTGAATGAACTAATGACTCCATTGTACTTGTTAAATGCCTGATTTCGAATTCTAAATACAGTACATTTGTTCGTGCTTATCTAGTAGTTCTTGATCCACTTACGTTATTTCTGGGATTATTAGTTCATGCTATAATTCAAATACTTCTAATTATCATATACAGTTTCCTCAGCTGCTTGTACTTAAAGATCAAATTCTTTGTTCTTGGTTCCTTCAAAATGTAGTATTTTTATGATAGGCTTTTTTAATATTAGAGGAGTTTAAAAGCTCAATTATAAAATCAGGATTATGGTGTGTTTTCTATATGGTTTGAAGAATTATCGATAGATTTTGATCGGAATTGAGTATTAGATAAATAGATATATTGCCAAATTTATCTATATAACATGTTAGTTATGATTCTAATAGGAAAATAGTAATATGAGTCAGTAATAAAAATCAATTAACTTTACTAGAATAACTCGAGAAACCATACTGAATGAGAACTTAATAAGTAGTTATAGATTACCCACAATTATTCGAACGTAATATTACTCAAGTTTAGTTGATTAAAACTCTTTTTGTTATTCAAACTTGTCAACATCGTGATAAGGTTATACTTGATAATGATTGACATAGTCTACATTGAACTAGTTAGTTTAAGATAATAGAATAAATTAAAATGTATTCCTGTTTAGATCTAGATATTCTGAAAATGTCATTGATTAGCTTTAACACAATCGTAGAAAACTTTACATTATATTATAATAATTTAGATCTATTCTAACCCATTTATTCACCTTAAACAATGAATGAAGTGTTGAGAAAGATCATGGATCTTTTGAAGTCGTACATTAATACCGTTGGATGTTGACTCAGTAGTCTAGAGGTTAAGCGTTCTTGCACGAGACCGAAGGTCCATGGTTCAAGTCACACATACAGGATCGTGTTTACGCAATATTGAGAAGTTCCATACTAGAACAAAACGGTCTTCCACTACTTCCAGGTTCTCAATAATAATCTAGTTCAGATTGATTTATGAATTCAACTGTTAAAATATTACTACAATCTCCACAAATCCCCATTTCGGTAATTATATATATATATATATATATATATATATATATATATATATCAGAAAGGGTTTATGTGGATATTATAGTAATGTAATAGTTCAATCCATGAGTCAATTGAAGCTAGACCACCATGGAAAACCTAGAAGCACTGAACAGCCATCCCGTCTTATTGTTGGTAACCTTAGCAGTAAACATCGACGATCCCACCCCACGCGAGATTCAAACCCAGGACCTATCAGTTTTGTGCACGTGCGCTCAACCTCTAGACCACTGACGCGTCATCAAAATGGTGTTAATGTCTAACTTCAATCAATCCATGAAATTGAGCCCCCGTCCATATATACATCGTACATATACGTCAATTTTGTTGAATCCGAGTGAAAATTCAAAACTTTTTACCCTTTTTTTAAATACCTATTTCCAGTAGATTTAATAATCAACTAAATAGAAATTGTTTACGTCTCAATGGTCAAAAAACATACAACTGATAACTTGTAATCAAAATACGTTTAGGAATTTCGAATTCGTTCACAAAACGATTTATAATATTCCTAAAAATAACCAAAAAATAAACAAATTTACCAATGTTTCTATAGCCCTCCCCCATCTTAATTACTAATGTATATATCTATATGACCTAGTAACTAAACTAAATTATTTTTTTTTGTTAAATTCAACGTAAAATTTATTCAACCATTATTTCATAATAATCAGTATAATTATTATTGTTTCTTAATTGTAAACAACTAGAAAGAATTTCATAAAAAATAGGGGGTGAATTCATAACATTCATCTTTGGTTATTGTTTACGGATTGTGGAAATATGTTAATTGGGATAATAATAATAATAATAATAATAATAATAGTGTAAGAGAATACTGCTAAGGAAATAGTTTAAATTTCCGATACATTTTTGGAGATAAATAATTACGTGAACGTAATTATATAAACAATTTTGTTGATGTTATCTATTTAATATAATCGCATTATGGATGGGTATACAAAATGAAGTTCAAACTGGAGACAAATGCAATATAAAAGAAAAAAAATAAAGAAAGAAGGATATACAATGGGATTTATAAATAAAATATTGAATAACACAATGATGTAAATAGAGGTCATATATCATTTTTATAGTTTTATTTAATAATAAGATTTTATATGATATTTGTGATGTTTTTACAGTTGAAATCGTTAGTTGATCTAAGCTATACCATTAATGAAAAACAGATGGACGTTTCGTTCTAGTATTAGACTCATCAACAATGTACATCCATAATTCTAGACAGAAGATTCAAACTCGAGATCTTCAATCTCGCGTGTGAACACCTGTTATAACTGGTCGTCGCTGATTGTTATGTCGGAAACGCTTAGCACTTATACTCGGAACGAAGGACCCCTGAAATTCCCACGACGCAGAAGTAAGAACATAAAGACTGGTATAATTGAGGATTTATTAGCCCCTAAAACACAACAGCAACAACGATGATGATGATTATGATAATCTAGTAGAAAATACACTCATTTATATATTGATTGTACACCCATTTTGATTAATAATTAGGATGAAGTCACATATGTGAAAAATACTCAAAGTTATACCAAATCACATACTGAAAATAGTTCAGGTCAATGGAATACAAGAATATCGTATATTATACAGAAGAAAATATCATACTGGGAAAACAAATCAAACACTATACTGAATGATCATCACATTGAATCAAAACGGATGTAATGATGAATAAAACTCATATTGAATAAATCAATCGAAAATTGACTTTTCTTTCCATCATATCAACACCTAACTTCTAGAATTCTGAGCCAGTATCCAACGCTGTTAGTGTCTAACTTCAATCAAAGCATAATCTTGTGCAACTATTTGTCCATCGCGTGCGGTGAGTATCTGTCTCGCATCCGACATAGATTGAACTCCACTGATCACAGCTTCTCACTAGGACTCTAAGAGTTACTCTTCATTTTATGATGTATGTTTCCTGTAAGTTGTGTCATAGACTCACTGAATGATCTTTATTCAATCTGTACAATAGAAGGAAGCTTCATAATTCAATGATAATCGTTGTTTCTTTATATTTCTGAGTGATATGTGAATGTGATCTAATTCAATAGTAATAATTTAGTATCCATATAGTAAATTTGGAAATGAAAAACAAATAATTATGTAACTTTCTTTTATTTATCTCATTTACTTATTTTATTTTGATGAACCATCGACGGGACTAATTTATGGATGAACCAATCAGATATAAGATATAAGGTCTTGGATTTTGGTGCAAAATTCAATCATCCATTTGGTTGAAGGATGTTTTTGGTATTTTAGCTGATGTCAGTTCGTGGTGAAAACCATAAATTTAATTCCTAACAATTAATCATCAACGGTAAATCATATTTCCAATTCCTCACCATGGTTTATAACCTTCATTTGATCCTAGTTAGTATGTGGACGTTCTAAAGGTCATCTTAGCGTCGCTCAAACGTCGTCCATTAATTATAGTTCCAACGAATTATTTTATATTAATAATAATAAACTTCAACAGTTTACATATGTTATAGTACCGAAGATCGAGCACAAGACCTTTCGTCTCACTATGAACGCACAGACTTCAAACCAGTGATATAAATATCTGACTAATAAACTGACAACTGTACGTAACTATTATCCATCGTTTTCAGTTAGTTTCTTTCTCGCATCGGACACGTTTAAACCTTAGTGGTGGTTGGTATTCAATATATCCTTTAAATTTTGTATACAGTTCGTCCTGATAGCCGCCACTAGATAATGCCCCAGTGGTGCATTAATCAGAAGGTGAATACGAAGTGTTGATTACATTTATTATTGCACCAAGCACAGATAACTAAATTTACAAGTATGTTAAGCAAGCATGAAAGAGTAGTTCCGAAATGCGAGCAAGCAAGCGAGTGAGCGTGCGAGTCGAATGAGTGAATAGATGAGTCCATGAATAGGATTAAAATGTACATATATACACATAGTGAAATGAATGAATCATCGAATCAATTAAGCGATTAACAGTAAGGCTAGTAGAATGAATATATACGTAGGCAGTAAGCATTGCTCAAGCATACATATTCATACAAGTGTAACAATAATAACGATACAGTGATATGGATTAATTTTTATTGTACAAATGACTTTCTCCGTTAAATAAGTTAACAAAAAGGGCTTAACCAAATTTAAAGGTGAACAAACTCAATTGTACATTATCTGCTATAAAATACTGATACAAATATGTCACAATTCTAAATATTATATAATCAGGAAGATTGATTATGCATTAGATGTTCAAGTCTATATACTGATTATATGTTGGTTTTTGTTCGAAAGCAGTTAATATTTTAAATTAATAGATCAATTTTGATGATTACCCCTGAAGAAGTTCAGACAAATTAGATGGACGAAACGTTGGAATTATTTAAATTTTAATCGCTGAGATTATTTCAAATATAATTTTCACATATAATTAGATATGTTGATTGTAATACAGTTTAATTCAATTTATACAATAAATTATTGATTGGTTAGTAATGAACGCTACTACGGTGTAACGTTTTTTAAGTATTGGGACCTAGGTATGATGTAGTAATTTCGCATAAATTGATTGTTGAGTGGGTAGTAGTTCCTAATTGTTAAATAATAATATATTTGTAATATCCTAACAAGTAGAAGACTGAATATTTAACTTTCCACAACTTAGTGTAGGTCATATTTTTATAGAATAACTAATCCAGTTGAATGAACAAAAGTCTACTTTATTAGTATTAAGAAGTTGTGATATTTAGTTGTTAATTAATCAGTTTCCATATTATATGTTGATTCTTAGCAAATCTTTTAAATATGCTAAGTTAGTCAATAATTTTTATTGAAGTTGGCTAGTGGCTAGTTATTGAATGTAGAACGTACGTTTGACTCCATTTGGAATTGGTCAGATGGAACTCAGTATTCTTCGTTTTACTCTATCTACTGTGATACCGAGTTATTTAGCTACTCAATTGAGAAACAAGTACAACATTTAATTTATTTTTATAATAATTAAAATAATTCCATTGTTAATATTAAACTGTCGTAACAATTTTAGTATATTGGCTTGAGCATGACACTAAGCAAATGGACTTACTTACGTACGCCTGTTACTCTCAATGGATCATAGGCCGCCGACCAGCATTCTCCAATTCACTCTGTCCTGCTCCCTCCTTTTCAGTTCTATGCTATTATTGTTCATTTTTCTCATGTCTGTCTCTATTTTTCGACGTAATGTGTTTTTTGATCTTCATCCTATTGTTCTTGGGCCTTGAGGACTCCATGTGAGGGCTTGCCTTATGACGCAGTTGGGTGCTTTCCTCAATGTGTGTCCTATTCACTTCCAGCGCTTTTTCTCGACCTCTTCCTCTGCTGGCATCTGGTTTGTTTTCTCCCACAATAGGTTGTTGCTGATAGTGTCTGGTCAACGCACCCGAAATGTTTTGCGTAGATAACTGTTAATAAACACTTGTATCTTCTGAATGATGGTTTTCGTAATTCTCCAAGTCCTTACTCCATACAGTAGAACTATCTTGACATTTGTATTCAAAATTCTGACTTTGATGTTAGTTGACAATCGTTTTGAGTTCCAGATGTTCTTCAATTGTATATATGCTGCTCTTACTTTGCCGATCTGCGCCTACGTAAACAGACGTAAACACTATTGTAGTTGAATAAATTCCAATAATCAAAATATTGATTATTGAATATTCATTTAGATTCATTATTAAGTTATATAAAAAGACAATTGAGTTTGATAGGGATTGTGAAGTAAAAAGCCTATTCGATGTTTCGATCCGTTGAGTGTAATTTTAAATTGATTATGTAATATCGATAGAACAATGATTTGTGATATACATTTCGAACAATCTGGTCACATATATACGCTTGTCAGGTCATTTTATATGAAAATTAATAAAGGTCAATTAAATAAAAGTTCAAGTAAAAAAGTAACGAAAGGGAGAGAAACCATTTTACATCGTATAGAAAGAATAAGAAATTGTCGGATTATCCTAGGCCATGGAATGATTTAGGGATTACCAAAGTAAATTCTAGGATACGACAAATTATTTTTGTACACATAAGGGGGCTTTAAATTTACGAATGGCCGAGGCTACAATAAACTTGAGAATTTGCCCTTGACAATTTCTGTACAACCTTTTAAAAGCTGTATTTAGGTCACTTTTGTACCCTGTTCGATTATCGCTGTCTCTGAAGGATTGATGACATCCAGTGGCAACACCATGTTAGTAATGCAGAGGTTCGGCATCGTGTGTTTGGGCACAGAGACGATAATACAATTAGTGTCACCATCTTGAAACACCGACTTCGGTGGCTTGGACATGTTCTACGAATGTCGTCCCAGAGAATTCCTCATCGTGAATTATTTGCCGACTCTGGGACTGGTTGGAAAAAGCGGAGAGGTGGTCAGTTTATGACATGGTGTCGTGGTATGAAAGAAAGCTGCAAAGGGCTGGCTTGTGTTGGTCCTTCACGATTCCCTGGTTGGGGTCCAAGAGATGGTGTAACACAGTGGCTAGAAACGTTATCAGATATGGCTCAGAATAGAAGCCAGTTGCGATCCTGCTGTAACCTTCTTTTACTTTCTTCATAAAAATTGGTTGCTTTTTCCTTAACTGTAAGATTTCTTTTGATTGTACCTTTCCGTTCCCCCCATTATTATTATTATTATTATTGTTACTATTATTATTATTACGCCAACATACACTAATCTGTGGTCATTATTGTTCTTTTTTATACGCACCTTACCTTCTTTTTCTCTTCCCATTCTCATTATTTTGTGTGGTGCATATATATCTGGTGCCCCCTTGTACCAATATTTATGTGCTCAAATAAATTTATAAATAATATATTAATTCCGGTACGGGATATGTTAGTCTTAATTTATGTTTATTAAAATTAAACTTATAAGTAATCTGATATCCATTGTCTTACATAACTAAATTAATTGATTACTGGATGCTGATCATTGTCATATTCTGCTTATCTTTACTGCTCACTGTATTTCGTCTTTCAATTAAGAGTAACGTCATTGGGTAATTCGACAGTTTATTCACTTTCTTTATGTTAGATAATCCTGCTTCGGTTTGGGCACCCGGGCAGTATCACAGCCCTCACACATATCAAATGAGATCTGTGTGGCGCATATTTATTTGGTACCTCCTTGTACCAATATCTATATGTTAAAATAAATAAATAATAATAATGTTAGATAATGATCAAACGTTGTTAGAATTTAGATTATATTCCAGCAAGCACTCATCAATAAGTCTCTTTTATGATTTAAATCAGTATCACATAATTTCACTGAGTTATTATCATTGATCTATTCCAGTAATATCTATCTTGCTATAAGTTCAAAATGTTTAAATTAGAGTGATCGTTGATCCAGTTGGTATGGTGTTATTCACTCAAAGTCAAATCTTTCATATATCATTTTTCAAAGCGATTTCTTTACCGTTTATTAAAATCATTAAAATGATAGCAACTAAGAATCTTCATGAAATCTCACAATCTCTACTGTTCAAATGAATAAACTATTACGTTGATGGAGTTTTGTTTAAAATCATCCAACTGAGCTATAAACTTTGATTAAGATTATGAACTGATTGATGTTAGACCACCATGGAAAACCTGGAAACACTGAATGGCCGTTTTGTCCTATTGTGGGACTACTCAGCACTGCGCATTCACGATCCTCTTTGTGAGGTTCGAATGTACAGCCTTCAGTCTCGCGCGCGAACGCTTAACTAACTGAACTACTGAGCCGACATCCAATAGTGTTAATGTCTAACCTCAACCAATCTAAAAAGTTGCCCGACCATCTTCCATTGTACTGAGGTAGACACCTGTTTCTATCCAACACGGATTAGCTTCAAGTCTAACATCAATCAAAACTTAACAATCTTCACAACCCCTATACTGATGATTCTATAATTCTTCTTCACCATCTTAAACTATTATGTTCATTGAAATGTCTAACTTTTTAAGAAAATAGATCATATTCTTTTAGAAATAGAAAAATGAACAAACAAATTAAACATTTAAATGTGATTTATTTTATTGAATGAATTATGATTGGTTCAATTTTATTTAAATAATTAAAATAACAATTTCATTTATTTATATTATTTATACCTTTATTGCTTATATATAACGAATACCAATCTTTCCCCAATCAAACAATAGAGAATAGATAGATAGATAGATAGATAGATAGATAGATAGATATTAGAATAGGTATGTCTTTGAATAACATGTCAAATAATAAAATACAATATAAATGATCTATTCAACTTATAATTGAAATGATTTATTTGAATTGAATTGAATGATAATGTTAAATATTAAAGAACAATCAATCTATTTTAGTTTATACTTAATCATGGAAATATTCATTCTCACCAATTGTAGTTATAATCAATGTAAGTGAATAGAATATTTTATTTGTATTATTTTGTTCAATTATATTACTATATAGTATTATGTAATGTAAACATATGGTTTATTGTTAGAAAGTGGAGGAGGGAGTTTTGTGGAGATTTTAAAAATTTCATTAGTTGAAATCATGAGTCAATTAAAACTAGACCACCATAGAAAACCTGGAAGTACTGGATGGACGTTTCAACCTAGTATAGGACTCCTCAGCAGTGCGCATCCACGATCCCACCCACCCACGCAGGATTTCCTGAAATTTTAGTCAGAAGCCGTGACCAGTAGAGCTCAACCAGGTCTGTTGTGAGAGATATGGTTCACTGAAGACAATGGTGTACGGTGGCTTAATTTCGTGGATTCGTTGAAGTTATACACTAAAACCGTTGGATGCCAGCCGGCTCAGTGGTCTAAGGGTTAAGCGGTCTCGCGCAAGACTGATAGGTTTTGGGTTCGAATCCCGAGGGGGTGGGATCGTGAATGCTCACTGATGAGGAGTCCCATACTTGGACGAAACAACCGTCCATGGTAGTCTAGCTTCAAATGACTCATGATCTCAACGATTGAAATATATATTTCAGTTCATCAAGTTCTAATCATACTACCACTACTTTTGGGAAATAGAGGAAAAAGCAACTGAAATATTCATTTAGTTCGTTGAATGAATAACCGTGAAGAAAACGAGTATACAATAAATAAGATAACTTTGATCAAAAATTCTTAATTGATCAGTCAACATAATTATCTACTATTTACTGAAACAAGAAAATGCAAATGAAGAAATAGATATGTAGTAGCATCGAACCCAAACCACACGACCTTTGAAGCCGAGCATATAATTACTAAAAAGACATATTCAACAATTGACATGAAGAAAAGGTCAACTATGGAGAACGAGGGAAAATGAATTTAATTCAATCAGGTGGCATAGCTCAGCCTTTCAGGCATGGTGATTCTGTATAACTTGTCTTTACTCACCTTATATATGTTATTCTATCATCAGCCTAAATGTGTTCTTTACAAACGCCATACGTTATATTGCGGATTGTTACGATACGATCAGTCACAGTAGACAATGATGTGACTTCCATGTAAGATCTTACAGATTAGGCAGTCACATCATGACATATTTACAATTTTACGATTAGGTCTATTATTATAAAGAATTTATCGGCTTCGGTGTTTACATGTATACAAATGTGAAGATCTACTTCATTGACTAAATCATATGCTACACAATTAAATCTATCTCGTTAGCAACTTGTCAAGTAAATGTATCAGTATTCCTGCTAATGTCTTTATTGAGACTTGGACCTATTCTAAATAAGTAAAAACGATCAAAATATGGTTAATAGTGCTAATAAGTCACGGATATCATGATTTGTTTTTCCAATGGATACAAACTTTCATAAATTTAATTAGTGTTTAATTAGTTAGTACATAGCATTGTGGTGGACGAGAACACAAATGGGGACAACTGAAAATATCTGAACACAAAATTGAGAACCATACAGTAAATACGTCATTAGCAAAATATCAATCAATCGTCTCAAAATTGACTGTTTCTTTTACAAATATCAGTCAATCATCTCAGACTTCATTGTTTTTTCGTTTCCACACTATTCATTCATTATTCTCATTCTCTTTTCTTTTATCTTCTTAATCTTCTGTCTTAAGGCATTTCACTTTTGTGTAATGATACATACTACTGATATCGACGGATATCAGTAGCATACATCGCAGTATTATCATTAAAATAATCAGCTGAGCATAGTATTTTTTTTTCTTTTTTATATAAACACATTCATTATGTTTAAATTTAATCATTCAATTACATTTTTTTAATTGTAGTTCTGTTAAGTAAAATACATAAAAAGGATGGATTGAAATTTTTCAAACCATGTCCTGAATTAAATTATAAATATGATAATGGTAAGATATAAAAGATAATTTTATATAATATGGTTATGTTTAAACATTCTATTATATTAATAATGTAACATTTTATAATTTGCTATTCATTTAAACTAATAATGAAGGTTGTTAAGGACGATAGTTTTGTTGGTGATTTAATTGATGAAACTATAATTTATGGATAACGTTTGATCGATGCTCGAGTGAATTTGAGTGTATCCACCTAACAACTAGGACTAAATGAGAGTTATAAACTAATGTGAGGAATTCAAGTTATGTTTTAGCAGTTAATGATTAACGTTAGAAATTTAGATTTAATGTTTTCATCACAAACTGACATCAGCTAGAATGTTAAAACTGTATTTATCTAAATGGATAAGTGAATTTCACATCAAAACCTGAGACTTGTTATCTTATACTTGATTGATTCGTTCATAAATTATGGTCTCGCTGTAAACAGTATACACCTATTATTACATTAAATAAGAATGTTCGATTCAATGAAGAGTTCTCTTTTCGGCAAATTCATTTTCAAAGCTGTACAATCTCAAGTATACATACTTATGTTTTCAAGATGATAATAATACAGATAATAAACTTCTGTTAGGTATGTTGACAATGAGGTTAAATAAACAAAGGTATTAAAAATAAGTTTTCCTAAACAAGGAAAATTTAATAATCGTCTGATTGTTAATGGTTTGAATATTCATCAAAAGATAGATATAGAAATTATCATTGGGAAAGAATGGTTCAGCATGATATTGAGATTAAATGTAATTAGAAGGATCATAAAAACAGAAATGAACCAGTTGTGAGTAGAAGATTTAAGAAGAAGATGGAAGAGGAAACAGTTGGCTGTAAAGGAAGAAAAGTGCGAAGAAAAGAAATTATAAGGCATTAAGACCATAGTAGAAGAATAAGTTGTATCAATCCCTTTTGGACACACAATTCTAGTTTTCTCAGATGTTTGGCTATTGTTTCGGCAGTGTTAAAAAGATGCAATATAATTTCCTTTGGAAGATTTCTACTTACCTCGTAAATAACTTTGAATGCAGAGTTCGTCTTGATTGAGTGACCTGTGTTCATTAGGTGTTCGATTATTGAACTTCTTATTGAGCCATTTCCTTGTCTTCTTAACCATACCACGTAATGTTCTTGAATTCTTTTGGATAAAGTAACATATTAATGTTATACACAAGATACTTAGTCATTCAAAAAAATCATATCAAATAATAAACATGCAACATTTATCATAAAAATATACTTTCATTGATACTCGATGTTTGATGAAGGATCCAACCAATAGAAGATAGTAAATTCAGTTAAAAGGAATATTACACTATCATTTAGTTTCTAAAGAAGTGTACTTATATTCGTTTACTAGTTACTAAATATAGTCAAACATCGATTTTATGAACACTGACAAATCTATCCACTAAACTGATAGGTTCTGGGTTCGAATCCCGCGAAGCGAGGTCGTGGATGCGAACTGATGAGGAGTCCCACAATAAGACGAAACGGCCATCCAGTGCTCCCAGGTTTTTCACGGTGGTCTAGCTTCAATTAACTCATGATCTCAACTTTTGAAATTAGTGCTTACCTCTTCAAAGAATAATGAGCATTGCATTAATTTAGTAAATTCAGATGGTTACTAACGTATTTAATGGGGTGATTTAAATTACTTTTAAACGTTTGTAATTACCTCGTTGTTTATATTCAGGACTTCAATTAATCAGTATTTATTAGTAATCACTCGTCATCAGCAAATAGTCTATAAACTGAGTTTTAGCTAAAATTTCTTAATATCTGTATACTAAGGATAAAAGTTGAAAACCAAAGCGTACGGTAGGTACCATCTGATATTCATTTGTTGCAGATACCTAAATCACGGTGTTAATGTTCACAGCTAGGTTGAGAAGCAGTAAAATGATATGAACTGTCAATATTTAACATACTTTTAATCGAAAAAAACAACTTCTAAACATATAATATACTAATTCGTTTTTGTATTGGCTGTCTGAGTGTTCCCATTGGCGTTTACTACTGCAATTAATCAGTCTCTTATTAGTGTATGTGCATCGTAATCGGATTACCTTAAATCACAAGTATTCAAATCAAAAATGGATAGTAGCTACTAATGAACAGTAGTACAACTTTCCTTTTTCCGGATTGGCTGAATTATAATGATGTTATGATAAACGCTAATATCTATAAGTGCCCATGATTTTTTGTACAATTTAATTCTTACCCAACAAGTACTTCTCCAGTCCTCTCTCATCTGATTTGCGAGTGTGGCTTTTCTATATGTTCGAATGTCATAGTTGTATACGGTATTCTGCGTTAATTAAATAGCAAACTTAACACATTTTGTATAAATCTTACTTTAAACCTTTTGTAAATAATTATCTTGGATAGTTTTGATTTTCTCATGAGACTATATTAAGAAAAGGATATTCATTATTGAATCGTCTGAGGTCATATTATAATTTCAGATGAAAACGTTCACGACATCTTCATACAACATTGAAATCATTACAAAACAGATTCGTTAATTATATTTTGAATATTGGTTATCAGTCGAAATTTTCCAAATACATTTCATTAACACCGTTGGATGCCGATCGGCTCATTGGTCTAATGATTAAGCGCTAGCGCGCGAGACTGAAAGGTCCTGGGTTCAAATCTCGCGAAGTGAGATCGTGAACGCTCACTGCTGGGGAGTTCCACAGTAGGATGAAACGATCATCCAGTGCTTTCAGGTACTTACATGGGGGTCTAGCTTTAATTGAATCATGATTTCAACTATTAAAATTACTATAATATCCACAAAACCCCTTCCTGACATTTCATACTGGTAGAAAATTGTCAGTTACAAATATTTCAAACCAACTAATAACACTTACTCAAAAAGATCTCAAGTACGAACAGATATTGAATATCTGGGCTACCTGTTCCTGCCATCTGGATATTTCAACAAGTTATCTGTTTTCTTGTTTGTTTTAACACATCATTATGCTTATTAGTCTCATAACCTATTCAGGTGCGTTTGTGAAAAGTTTACAACATTTCGCTGTACATGTTACAAAAGAGTTCAGTCAGAGACATTATGATTACTGGCAATATGCATCGAAAAGGATATACATTTATCAGATGTCGATTCTTGAACCGCTAACATCTAACTGGTGACCACTCAATATTTATTGCAAGCAACTGATCAAGAAATAAGAAAAGGAAACTCGCTGAAATACTTTGTCCTGAGAACTCTATACTGTACCAAAAAATATAATATTGAATAAAGCCACTAATCATAATAATAATGATAATAATAATAATAATCAATTGTATCCTAAAAATATGGGATTTGGGAAAAAAAAACAAAAACGTTTCAAATATACTATTCATGGTTCACATTTATTATCCAATACAAAGAAAACCTTTAACTGCCCCTAAGATATCAGTCTTACTGGGAAACAATAATATTGTTCTTTCCATCAGTTTATCCAGTGAATTTTATTATTTACATTTTAAATATAGAAAATTACTAAAATTTTTTATTTTTAAGGTTATTTGTAACTAGATAAGGAGAAAATTTTGTCACACAATTGGTAAATCATATCATTAATTCAGTTTTATTCATTCTAAACTGTTTGAAAATTATAATAATAACTGTACACCTTATTATTGAACAGAAGTAAATGCAAAAACCTATGTAACAGTTGAATTCATGCGTCAATCTAAGCTAGACCATCATGAAAAACCTGTAAGCAATAGATAGCCATTTCGTTCCAGTTCGGGACTCTTCAGCAGTTCCTATCGATGATTCTGCACGTGGGATTCAAACCAAGAACCTTCGGTCTTGCGCGTGAACACTTAACATCTAGAACTCTAAGTCGACATCCAACAGTGTTAATATCTAACTTGAATCAATCTATAATCTTGAACAATACTTCATCTATTATCTAAAGTGGATAAATATCTCGCACCGTACATGGATCGAACCTCACTGGTCACAGATTTTCACTAGAACCTCAGTAAATTGATCTTGAATCTAGTCACTAGTGAGCACACTGGTAAAATTACCACAATCTCCTCAAATTCTGATTTTGGCAAAGTACCTGTTATGCAATCCACAAACATATGTATTGAGTGATTAATATATCTATCTTCGATATTACTTTTTCTTCAAAAAAACTTTCTAATAGAAAGTAAAGTATATCATGTTTATTAGAAATGCTGTTTCTCAATGGTTGAGACCATGAGTCAATTGAAGCGAGACCACGATGAAAAAACCTGGAAGCATTTGACGGCCGTTTAGTCTTATTGTGGGACTCCTCAGCATTGGCCATTCATAATCCCGTCTCACGAGATTCTAACCGAATACCTACCAGTCTTGTGCGCCAATGATTAATCACTAGACAACTGAGCTGGCCCGCATCCAACAGTGTTAATGTCTAACTTCAACTAATCCACGAAATTGAGCGACACATCCACTATTGTCTTCGGTGAGTTACTACCACACAACAAACCCTGTTGAACTCTACTGGTCATTGCTTCTCACTGGAACTCCAGGAAATACCTCTTAAAGTCAGTCACTAGTGAGCATATTTCAATTGATATCAGAAGGGGTTATGTGGAGATTGAAATAATTTCAATAGTTGAGATCATGAGTCGATGTTAACTAGACCATGATAGAAAACCTGGAATCTCTCAAGGCAGGGTTGTTTACGCGCACTGCTGAGGAGTCCCATACTAGGACGAAACGGCCGTCCAATACTTCCAGGTTTTCCATGGTGATCTAGTTTCAATTGACTCATTATCTCAACTTTTGAAATTATTATTAGCTGAAAATAAACATAATTGTAATAATAATTAAATAAATAAAGACTATGATAATAGTCAGATAATATGAGTACTTTTGAACGTATTCTATGTTTTCAAAATAAATCTAGTTTTTGTTCTCCGACGAAGATTATCACAACTATATGATAATATATTAGCTCAATACATTTCGAACAATCTGCTAAATAAAATATTAATTTAAAATGACTGTCCTCTGAAATTCATAAATATAGATTAAAAGTTCATGATACAATGAGATCTACTGTAGCCTTGTTAGAAAAAAAGCCTGTCTACATCGTCTTACCATTTAGAGGTGATTCAAATAGCCTTTTTTTATTGAAACAAAGGCTTAAATCAATCATCAACAAAACGTACTGCTCAGTAAAGATCATTATCAAAGAAAGAACAAGGTGCATACTTCATCCAACACGGCTGTGTCACATCCCACTGTGTTTACCAATTTAAATGTGTGTGTAGTCACACATACGTAGAGAGGAGTAATCGTGATCTCAAAATTAGGATGTAAGAACATGTGAAAATGGTTACAGAAACAAATAAAATCACGTAACCCATTAACAGTAGAGGATAAACATCCATCATCCTCTATTGCTAAACATATAATCGAAACAGGCCGGTAGATTGATCTTAACTTGGCTTTTTTAGTGTTGTATAAAAGTGTAAAACGGCGTATACTAAAGTTTATTGAAGCCTTAGCCAAACGAAAATTCAAACCCTCTTTGTGCATTCAAAAACAGTTTGTTCTCAACTTAAACCTAACCAGGAAAAATATTTCAATAGTTAAAATCATGAGTCAATCGATAATAGACCACAGTGGAAGCACTTGATGGCCGTTTCGTCGTACTATGGGACTCCTCAGCAGTGAGCATCCACGATCCCGCCCCAGAGCGATCTGAACCCAGGACCTGTCAGTCTCGAGAGCGACCGCCTAAACATTAGACCACTGAGTCGGCATCCAAAGGTGTTAATGTCTAACTTCAACCAATCCACGAAATTGCGCCACCGTCATCATTGTCTTCAGTGAGCTGATATTGACTTATTATCTAGAGTGATTAGGTTTCGAATTGTGTTCCCATTATTATTATTACTCTCATTATTATCTTTGTCTCCTCTTATCCCATGCGCAGTCTAGTCGAGTTTTTATTTTTATATAAAAATATCTTAACAAGTACATTATGTGTGATCAGATTGTTCGAAATGTATTGCGCTAATATATCATCACGTAGTTCTGATAATCTTCGTCTTCTTATTACATTATCAAAATTTACGAAAGGGACTAATTGCTTTAAATTTCTAGTTTTTGTTTTGTTTTAAATACGTATATCTACATCTTATTTGTTTTCCATCATTGTGATCGTAATAGTTGGTAATGTTTGTAAATAGACGAAAAACGTACTACATGTTTAAGAAAAGGGTATAGTAATTCGAATCAGATTAATGGAAGATGTGAGAACAAAGAAAAGAGCTGATATAGGTTAAAATCACCATGTGATTATGATGACCAAGATGAAACTGAAGTTAAAAGAGCATTGAACAACAGCAGAAACAGCATTTCGAGATAGTGACTAGGTCAATAAATTTAAGATAGCTATCAACAACAGATTCCAAACCTTATAAGACCTAAAAAACAGAAAACAACTATGGAGAATAATTGGAAAGTAATCAATGAAGCATTAACCTCAACGTGTCAGGAAGTGCTGAACTGCAATAAGCATCATCATAAGCAATGGATCTATGTCAAAATGCAGAACAAGATTCAAAAAAGGATGAACATAAAGACAGAAATTAACAACATCCGAACAAGAAAAAAGAAATCTAAGGCACAAACGTATTTAGTATTTTCTAGTTACCACTGGTTGTTATCTCAGGAAAACACTGGAATGAACACGTGATAAATTGGAGTAGTAGTTGTTATATCCTAGCGAATATTAGATTGTGATTAACTTTTGAGACCTATTAATAGATAAATATTATCTATATATTCTTATGGTATAACTATTCAGTAATTAGATTATATTTATCTATATTTCCCTTATTATAAGCTTCATTCTGACCTATAGATTATTATAGTCGATTTACTGTTCTCAAGTTATGTTCAGTTTATTGACTACTGTTTTCCACGTTCACAGCCAAATTTTGACTTTATTATGTATAAATGTTATTTCCTATTTTATGGTGCGATGCGGTCTGTTTGGTTGATATACAAGCCAAGTATGTCTGAAATAAATGATTCACATAGTGAAGGCTGTTATTGGCATTCTGGACTCAACTGAACGGGTTAGGCGAGCAAAGGACCAATAAAACGCTAGGCTGATCAGACCGGACGGACGTTATTAGTTTAGTACAGTACAAGAGTGAATAAGGCATATTTTGATTGGCTAATAAGTTACGTGATAAAAAACGGGTCGAAAGACACAACAGTAGTAGTAGTAGTGTTGTGAACGAACATTTAGGTGAGAAAAACCAATTTATTATTCAATGCAAAATTGTTAGAAAATCTTACAGTAAATACATCATTTACAAATTCTCCAACGATTGTCTTCAATTTTCATCGTTCCTATATTTCTATCACAATTACTCACTGGTTACATTTCTGTTTTCTTTAATTCAATCTTCTCAACCTTCTACTGTTAAGCTATTTTACTTCTGATTGATATTACATACTATTTATGTCGATATATACATACATATAAGTAGTGTGGTGTGTTCTACTTATGTAGACATAAGTAGTATATGACTCGAGTTTTAAACGTAATGTTTACCAGTAGAAGTTAGGGGAAGATCAACAAAGAAAGAGCGGGAACACAATGGAATTTGTATGGAAACTCATGAACAATGAAATATCAGACAATCAATTGATGTTTGCAACAGGAACAGTCCAGTTTGATATGATGAATTGTAATTTTGCAAATTAACAATTCACCATATGGTTGTTAGATTTTAATAACTAGTTCTGTTATTTTTTGTAAAAAAGTCATTCGTTTGTCCCCATTGGTGTTTTTCTTCACTACAGTGGTATACAACACAATAGTAAAGAGTGTAGAAACAACTTTTACATCTTTTGTTTTTCATTATTTCTCATTGAATATTATTAATTACAAATTGTGTATGCTAAATCTTTTGTTTGTTTGTTTTTTTTTTTAAATTTTTTCTGTAGCAACTGGAAATTTTATGTGTACTGTACCAACTGCTAAAAAATGTTATGAATTATGTCAACGTTATGGTTGTTATGAATGGCCATTTAAAAAACCAATTCCATTATTAAATGAATTATATCGTCATAATTATCGTTGTCGATGTTTTAAAGAATATAATACATGTTTATATAATTCATTATCAAGAAAACAAATTCATTATTAAATTATTGAAACATTAACATGTTTCTAAACTAATTCATTAACTAGTGTGAATATAATGATTAATAATATTAATGAATAGAGAATATAACACAATTCAATCTTATTATGTAATGATTACTATAACTGCACTTGAAACCCCCTCTGAGGATAATGCCGGTCTCAAGACCGGATAAAAGAGGAGGGTTTGGCATGAGGTTAGTGACCTTATCCTGTAGAAAATTAATTCGTTAAAAAAGATAATGTTAACCAGAAAAAATAATTTAAACTATATAACCTCTGCCATAGGAGTTAGAAGATTTTTTATTTAGAAGAGTTATGATGCTTCATAGTGAAAGCCAAGTTCTTTCGGAAGTCACGAGGTTGATGTCTCTTTCTGACAACTAAAGCAAACAATAATTTAGGTACATGGAATGCTCGTACAATGTAAGAGACTGAGAGAGCTTTCCAAATTGCTGCAGAATTCATGATTATCATCATCCTGGAATAAGAAGATATAAGATAAATTTCTTTGTTTAAGTTCAGAATAGAATGATTGAATTTAGAATAAATAGATCTGTTAATAAACAAAATTATTTTAACAAAACATTAAAATCCATTTTTATTCAATATCTACCGGAATCTATGATAAAAGACATAAGAAATTGAGGCTAGTTATTTATTTTACCTTTCTCATGTTAAGATGAAGTATAAGTCTCAGTTACTGAAATATAACCGAACATAAATGATAATATAAGGCTACCTGATTGAATATCTGGGCTATCTATTTCTACCATTAGAATATTTAAACAAGTGATCGGTTTTCTTGCTTGTATTAACGCATTATTATACGTATTATTCGTATAATCTATTCAGATGAGTTTGTGAAAACTTTACAATGTTTCACTGTACAAGTTACAAAAAAGCCCAATCAAAGACATAGTGGTTGCTGGCAATATGCATGGAAAAAAATATACATTATTGAAATGTCTATTCTTGAACTGCTAACATCTAACTGTTGACCACTCAATATTTAACGTAAGGATCATTCAAGAAATAAGAAAAGGAAACTCGCTGAAATATTTTGTGCTGAGAATTCTTTATTGTACCAAAAATATAATATTGAATAAAGCCATTAATAATACTAATAGTAATGGTAGTAATAATAAATTGGTCTCAATGATTATTTGGTAAAATATCGAGTAAGTTGATTTGTGGCCTTTAGTTTAAATGGTTAGAATATAATTTATCTTTAATATTGGAGCAAGGCTCTGTTGACCTTGAGAAAACCCACCTACTTACTGGGGTCAAACAGATTAATATATCAGAGTGAGGAATTAGGATTAAGTTATTTAGTTATAAGTTTGGGTTAAGACTTGGATTTAAGGTTTTCATTATGAATTACGAATTGGATACCGGCTCAGTGATCTAGTGGTTCAGCGCTAGCGCGCGAGACTGATAGATCCTGGATTCGAATCTCGCGGTAAGCGAGATTGTGGATGCGCACTACTGAGGAGTCCCATACTAAAACGAAAAGGCAGTCCAGTGCTTCCAGGTCTTCCGAGGTAGTCTAGCTTTAACTGACTCATGATCTGAACCATTGAAATTAAATATCAGTTATAATGCCCAGATGTCATTTAGCTACCATAGATAAATGAATTTCAAGCTGAAATCTAAGACTTGCTTTCATAAGTTTCTTTAGCTGGTTCATAAATTATACTTCCAATATTCTCTTGGACAATCTTATTTATGAATATTTATAGTCAGATTGTTATGTAATAAAAAGGATTTTCTTTTTTCGATGAATAAAATGAAAATCAAATAGACAATGCTTTTAAATTGATTCTAACTTTACATACATGGTTACTTTCTTAATCTTCACAATGAACGTGGTTTTATGCAATAAGATAGCTTTAGAAAATATATCATTGTATAAATTGTCCATAATAATCCAAATGACCTGATCAAATCAAGTGAAGTTATTAATGTTATGGACGAAAGTATAGTTTACGGATGACCTCAAAACAAATCTTAAGTGACCTTCGGCAAACAGTCAATATAGAGTAAAAATATATTATGCAAAACCAAAGAGTTAAAGTGGACACATTTTACATAATTCAAAAACTTGTCAAGGTTAGAAAGAGGTTCAGAGGTTCTGAAGTCGTAATACATACGTTATAAGAAATCATCCATATGGCTCCATAATAGTAGGCCTCTGGATCCATGAGCCTCGACCACATAGCTTCAATATTGTTTATGTGCACTCCAGTTGTTGGATCCACAAAATACTGCTTGTGGATAACGACACGATGCACATATCCAAGTCTATATAGGCATTTGTACGCTCTCCAATCATCTGTATATATTTTAGTACCCGGCTGTAGCCAGTGTTACTGGTGCTTTTTTATCCAGTTTAGTTTATCAAGTCATAATTTGCCATAGTCTTGAACTGGATCGAGCAAAACATCCTATTCTAGCAGAATTCTTCCTCCAATACATATTACATCGAAAGACAACATCATTAAGGTAGTTTGCACAAAGTCCACAAGTCATTTGATTATCGCAATCACAAATAAAGGAAGTTATTAATAGTCTCATTTGTTGTAGCCGCTCAATTATCACGTGAGCTTGAAATCCCTCAGAAGCTTTTGATTGGCTCGTCCATAAATTATAGTCTCGCCATCTTATCATTGAAATAGTCTATATTCATAAGAATTTTAGCAACTGGTGTTCATCAATAATCACAGTAGGTTCAATATAAGATTATAAAATGAAGTCTGATAAGGCAAGAAACTATTTGTATTCATTTACGTGTAACTGACCTAAGAACTTGATCTTCTTTTTTCCAGCTTTTATGACAAATAACGACATTTTAAGAGGAAGCAACCCTATTATTTATATCTGTCGATCATAGACAATTAATTTTATAATTGACTTTATGATTCGATTCAAGCTAGAACACCATGGAAAACCTGAAAGTACTGGACCGTCGTTTCTTCTTAGTATGAGACGCCTCAGAAGTACTCACTAGTGACTGGCTTCAAGATGTATTTAATGGAGTTTTAGTGAGAATCTCTGACTAGTGTAGTTCAATCATGTCTGTTGTGAAGCAATTACTCACTGAAGACAATAGTGGACTGTGATGCAATGTTCTGGATTGGTGGAGGTTAGACATTAGCACTGTTGGATGTCGGTTCAGTGGTTTAAAGGTTAAGCGTTCGCAGACGATAGCGAAGGTCCATGGTTTCGATCCCAAGTGTAGGGTCGTGGATATGCACTATTGAGAAGTCCCATATCAAGATGAACTGACTGTCCATCAGTTCTAGGTTTTCCATGATGGCCTAGCTTTAATCAACTCATGAATCCAAATATTAAATTGCTACAATCTCCACAAAAATTACTTTTATGATTCAATAACTTATTGAGTAATTAATGTCGAATAATACTCAGTTTAATGTAGATAAATCTGATAGTTAATCAGTGTAAATGAATGTACGACGATCGTTCTTTTTCCGTCTTAATTAAAAGTGCAATATCTAGCATTCCTGAGCAGATCCTAATCTAATGTCTTCATTTCCTTACTTGTTTCATGTAATCCAGTAGTTTAAATAATCAGTACTAGTTTTTTGATGTGTTTTGGAGAAAACTATTCACTTTCATATATCACATACACTGCAAAGGAATAAATCTTTATTCACTATATCACATAATTGTAAATATATTATACCATTGAGCCGGCATCCAAAGGTGTTCATGTCTAACTTCAACCAATCCACGAAATTATGCCACCGTACATCATTATCTTCAATGAGCTGATATCTCACAACTAACCTAGTTGAACTCTACTGTAAATCTATTCCTGTTCACTACTACCTATGGTATTTTGATGTATTTCACAACTAACAAGTTTCAATGAAAACATTTTTCAATTCTATGCAATGTGAAAACTTGTCATGTAAATTAACTATGCTAGACATTTGGTTTGTTTTTGGACAAACAATAAAAAACATGCATATCAATAATAATAATCAAGATAAAATCATCATATTTGATTGAGATTATAAGAAATAAAAATGTACAAGTTCGTCATAAAGCAATAAATGTTTATATGTCTAGTGATAAATCACTATTCAGACATTACGTCATAATGCAATTAGATAAGAAAACATTTCAATGTTCGAGTGATACAATTTTTGTTGTTGTTGTTGTTGTTGCTATAAATAACCTTAGAATTAATCTCAGTTAAAACATTAACAATGGAAATTTGAATATACTCAAATAAGAAGTTAAAAATAAGAAGAAATATATATTTTGCTTAACCTTAAATCTTAGGGATAACCCATAACCTACTCACTTACTTACACTTCTTACTCTTCATTGAGAAGCATAGGCCACCTACCAGTACTCCATCCATTCCTGTCCTTTCCAGTTACTATTCATCTTTTTCGTGTCTGTTTCCAATTTCCGACTCAGTATGTACTTCCGTCATCCTCTTTTCCGTTTCCTTTCAAGATTTCAGGTTAGTGCTTGTCTCATGACAGAGTTTGATGATTTCTGTAATGTATGTCTTATTCACTTCCAACGTCTTTTTCTAACTCCCTCCTCAGTTGAAAGCTGGTTTGTTTTCTCCCACAGAAGTTTATTTCTGATGATATCTGGTCAACGGATAATAAGTATCTTGCATATATTAGAAATCTAATTTGGATTACCTTTTTTTCAAATGGTTAATTCATTTCAATGGTTTAGATCATGAGTCATTTGAAGCTAGACCACCATGGAATACCTAAAAACACTGGACGGCCGTTTCGTCCTAGTGTGGGACTCCTCAGCAGAGCACATCCACGATCCCGCCTCGCGAGACTCTAGTGCAAGACCTATCAGTCTCTCATGCATGAATTTTTTCTGTCAACAAGAATCATAATTAGAATCTATAGTTACTTTTTAGATTACATTAAAATATGAAAAACTAGAAGTATAAACCTCAGCTATTATACATCAATTAATTTTTATAATAACTGAACAGATGAACGGCAGAACCTAATGTATACTTGTTTTAAGACTTTAATGATTTCATCATCCAGCCCGAACGAAACTATATTGAGCAGTTTCTTCTCAGAAATAAACACACTCCATCACTAGGTAACAGAATATATTTTTCAAATAGTTATGTAATCAGCATACCTAGAGTCATCATAACAAAGATAAAAATACAGCAAACAATTAACGTAATCAATAAAGCAATTGTGAATTATGTGTTACTTACCTGAAAAATGACAAAAGGTTAGATGTCTTCAGACATTTTATAACAACAGTGTAAAAAGTTAAATCCAAACTTACAGTGTAATGTGTACCAACCAGATCACATATAATAAACAAGTTCTGGAAAAGATTGAAACATTTACATACATGGGGAGCACCAATGGTAGAAATAGAACATTCAATGAGATATCAAGGGACCAATTGGTAAAGCAAACGTAACAGACTTACAATTGATGAATATCTGAAACTCAAAAGAACTATTACCCAAGTTGCACGTCAGCATTTTCAACACAAACGTTAGGAAAGTTCTGCTGTTTAAATCAAAAATCGAAAACATTACTACTGCCATCATCAAAAATGTACAAGTATTCATTATAAATCAATATCAATCCATCATATCAAACTTGACTGTTCCTGTTGCGAACCCCAATCCATTATCTCAGATTTCATTGTTCATACGTTTTCAAGCCAACCTTTCCTCATTGACCTTCTACTGAAATACATTCTATACCTGACCACCATTATATACAACTTGAGTGGATATAAGTAACCCACACAACAAGGGTAGTTTTAGAAATAGTTGTTTAGACCTCAACAAACATTTATGACTTAAATTACATCAGACTGAGTTTAGATGTAATCTGATTTAAAGTGTACAAACAAACCATCAACATATCTGAAATATCTCAACTTAATAATAACAATGTCATTAAGATAAGACTAATCATCATTTGAAAGTGAAGAAAAATAATACAATATGGATGAAATCAAAATACATGCTTCAGATCTAATTCATTGCTTTAAATAAATAACAACCTCACAATTGATTGATCACTAGGTGGTGACCAATGTCATCCATGTCTAGTTCTTATTATTAGTGCAGATCGAATGCTATCGATCACGTTGCAATGTGGCCACCAGTCTAAGTGACTCGACACGGCGGGGACTATTGTGAGATTAGATGGTGGTTCGAGGTAGTCGACAGGAAACCCTGGACCCGGGTTTCATGCTACTTGACACTTGTCAGCAAGGTGTACCTGTAATCTTGAGGTAACTGATGCTCTCTGACGGATTCTATAACGTGTCACCCAGCTTCACAGTCAGAGACGTTACCGCTGAGCTATCCGGGCGACGATCGACCTCCTGTAGGGCTAAGATGTAATCACAACCGATTGATCACTGAGAGCACCAGTTCTCTCAAGACTACAGGTACATTTTGCTGACAAGTGCCAAATAGTACGAAACCTGAGTCCAGGGTTTCCTGTCGACTACCTCCAACCACCATCTAAACAACAACTTACTATCTCATGGTCACATATTTTCAGTCAATATTGAATATTATCTATCTTTGAACAGTGAAATTAATTTAAGATAGTTATGAAAATGGAGTAATTTTTTGAAATGAACTACTGAAAATCGATTGACAATTGGATATAACGAACAAAACATTTAATAGTTGAGTTCATGAGTGAATTGAAGCTAGACTACGATGGAAAACCTGAAAGCCCGGGATGACCGTTTCGTCCAACAGTGTGGGACTCCTCAGCAGTGCGCATCCACGACCCTGTCTCGCGAGATTCCAATCCAAGATCTATCAGTCTCGAGTGCGAACGCTTAACCTCTAGATCGACGAGCTGGTCGGCATCCAACCGTGGTAATGTCTAACTTCAGCCAATCCACAAAATGAGCGACAGACCACCAATTTCTTCAGTGAGTTACTATCTCACAACAGATCCGGTTGAATTCCACTGGTCAGGGCTTCTCACTACAACCCCACTAAATACCTCTTGAAGCCAGTCAATACTGAACATATGATAATAATTTTTTTCAGAAAGGTGTTTTAGTAGTTGAGTTTGTATACTGGCTACTAGTTAAATGACATGCTGTTAGTCTGCTTTCAACTTTATATTGTCACTGAACAATCTGATACAATTCTCAAAATCAATTAACTCATAACTATCTTCATATCAATCAAGTTTATGATGAACAAGTAGCTTGACTAGTCATTTCAAATAATTTGAATAATCTGACGACATCCATTCACATTCATTCAGCATAGTTTTCAATAAAGTTGTCAATTAGTCTACAATAATCTACGTAAATACGTTGGATCCGTTGACCAGACATTATCAGTAACAACATACTATGGCAGAGAACAAACCCGATGCCATCTGAAGAAGGAATCAGGAAAAAGTGCTGGAAGTTGATAGTACACACATTGAGGAAAGCACCCAACTGCATCACAAGGCAAGCCCTCACTTGGAACCCTCAAAGCCCATGGATAATAGGAAGATCAAAGAACACATTAACTCGAGACAAACATGAGAAAAATGAACAAAAATTGTATGGAACTAGAAAAGAAGGCCCAGGAAAGTGTGAATTGGAGAATGCTAGTCGGCGGCCTATACTCCATTAGGAGTAACAGGCGTTAGTAAGTCCATCGAAAATCAATTTTAATGTTGAATTGAAAGAATTACCTTCAACTGAATTACTTATTCTTTGAATGACAAATTGATTGGTCATCCCTGCTTATTATCATAATTCTGAATACTCAATAAAGTATTGCATAAAATCATTTCATTTATCAATCGGTTGACTGATCGATTGACAGATCGATTTTATTTACTTTTTAAACTTTCGAATAATCAATAATCCATTGAAATTGTTAATGAATTCATTATTAAACATATGGACAGAAAATGTCGGATTATTTAAGAAATCAAATATGTCGTTATTTTAATACTAAACGAGGTTGTTGGTATGGTGATAATTGTAGATTTCTACATATTCCAAATAAAAAACCACCATGTAAATTTTATGAGTAAGAAATTGATCTTTAATTATGTTTGTTTTTTTTTGATTGAAATTTTAGTTTAACAACTGGATGTTGCTATGGTGAGAATTGTCATTTTTCACATGATAGAACATCATTCAAATCAGTTGACAACTATCATATTAATAATCATAATAATAATCATTCACATTCTATGGAGTTAATAAAACGGGTAAGTTCTCAATTGTTGAAAATTTTTTTTGGGTTTTCTTATGATTTTGTCTAATATGATGAGATAGTTAATTCTAAAGTGAAAAGGTTTGCTTAATTTGTTTAAATCATAGTCAGTTGATGATGAAGGGGTGTATAACTGATAGAATAATACTAATCTAATTACTTTGAAGATTTACAAAGGGGAATATTATGAAAGAGTTTTCTTACTTTCAAAATACACTAACTTAGTAATATAATGTGCTAGTTGACATAGGACTATTATTGACTACAATCAGTCAGTTAGTCATGTTAAGTAAGGATGAAGAAATTTCGATAGTTGTGATGATGAGTTCTAGTGGTTGAATAGTTTGTGACAGTTAGTATTATTTCGGATTGCATTAATTGAATGCCTCATATGGTTCTGGTGAAAAGCCGTGATCAGTGGAGCTAATCGTGTTAAGTAGAAACAGGTGTCTATCTCAGTACATTGGAAGATGGTCGCGCAACTTCGTGGATTGGTTGAGGTTAGACATTAACACTGATGGATGCCGGCTCAGTGGTCCAATTGGTCTAACATCAATCGGTTCATGATCTCAATCAAAAAATCATTTATTGTTGTGTTATTTAAAACTTTGAGTGTACTACTACTACTGCTTTGGCGCATAAATTGATTTATTATTTCAAATCTTATACCGGATCCAATTTTATTGAACAAAGATGAATAGTGGTTATCAGTGGAATCTAGGACACGTGTTTCGTCGTATTTGGGACTAGTCAGTTGAATGAACCTGCATCCCAGAAATGATATTCTATTGCGGTGCTATTCATCAATCGCGATATTCAAATAAACAATACTAAATCAATTTTACTGCTATGCAAGGCCACTCAGGTTTCGTCTTTAAACTGACATTTAGACCAATTGATTTTGAGAATAACAGTGTGCTTACTAACCTTGTTAAAGCTAACTGCTTTAGTTTTCAAACGATGAATAGTGTTTTAACTAACAATCAGTGGAATGAGTTCAATATCATTTTTAGTAGTCTCGTTAATAAAAAGTCAGAAAACATAGCTAAAGTAATGATCTTTACCACGATCTTATTCATTAAAGCTGTTGTAAAATGGTGCTTATGGTCATTTTGATAGTAATTACTTGTCTGGTGTTTATATGTACTGATACCCATCGATTTATTTGTGACAAGTCGGACACTTTTCAGAAGATGATGGGATTTTTGGAGTCATTATACATAACAAGTACTCTTAGTCATTTAAACTGGATGAACTGCTTTCAAGTCGAAACTGTCTGATTGATATTTGTTCGTGGCATCAAAGCTTTTCTGAATAAGTTACATCACATAGTGAATGTAATTTAGTATCGATCGGACTATTTCTTTTTGTTTTAGAATCATTAGTCTTTATTAGCTATCTATTTTCATTAAATATATTTTGAATAAACATTAAGCCAGGTATTTCATTCTCGTTAGTTCGTAGTTACATTCTTGATATATATCATGAAACTACAACTAGGATGTAAATTCGGGATTTGTAAATTTTCAAAAAGTATTGCGCAAGCTTGTAGTGTCTGGTACTATGTTAAGACCATAAGAGTTATTCTAGCTGGACAAACTGATTTACTCATTCTCTTCGATCCACATTTTGACCTTATTAATTATTCTCTTATTGAGCTTAAGTGTTTTTATTTAAGCGTATGTGTGTGCATTACTTATCCTACTCATTGCGTGTCTCTGACTTAATTTTGTCTGACTATAAATGTCTAGTCACGCTTGACCAAGTGGAGTTTTCTCACTCACCTTCTCCGCTTTGCTTCCGCGCTTCTTATTCTGAATATCTGTTTGGATAAACGAATGCTTGAAATAGATTCCTCTAATCCAACGTGTATTTGGCTTCTGATCACTGCTGACACCAATGGGTCTAGCCTAGGTATATAGGGAGTTCAGTGTAAAATTAGTGTTCATAGCATACTCATATGTTTATCCCAACTGGAGTCATATTACGAGCAACAAAAAAATTCATGGATTAATTGAAGCATTGCTCGCATATCCTGGGACCACTGAGTAAGTAATGCGATTGTTGGGAAACGGGTATTAGGTATGGATGACAAACTAACAGATGAAGTAGTGAAACTTCATCAGATGAGATGGCTGGGACACGTGTTACGTATGCTCAACCACCGACTACCACGACATGTGATGTTTTATGGTGTAGGAGTAGGTTGGAAGAAAGCTAGGGGCTGCCACATCAAAACATGGCACAAGTCCATAAAGTTATTGACAAGTGAACTGAGCCATACTGGTAGGTGTAGACTACCTGGTTGAGATCAGCGAGACGATAACAGCAGATGGTTAGAGACCTTGAATGACATGGCTCAAAATCGTTTGCAATAGCGCAGGTGCATCTACTCTTTGTGTTCTTCCAAATTCTAATCTTTTGAATTCTTCATATCCCTTTATTTTTCTCTTCCCAAATTTATTTCACTGGATTATATTCCTTGAATATCATCTTCAAACCTTAATGTTTCCGATTACTGCTTATACTCTTACTACCTCTACCACCATGGGATTTGAATCAGCAATCGTATTTCTGTGCTAATTTGGCATGGCAACTTGAACTGATGTACGTACGTAGAAAGTTCTACGTTGTTGTTGCTGACTGACTGACTGAATGACTGAGATGTTTATACTTTAAATCAATCGGATCGATGGGGTTATTCAACCTATTACTCATTGAACTATTTCCAATAATATTTTATAATTTCTCATCAACACATCACATCACAAACGTCTATTATAATGTTGACTATGAATATTAGTTTAGTTGTATCATTATTTTCAAACTATCCTCTTGTTATTTTCTGATTGTAGCTTCTAAAGGCAAATATGACATTAAGTGAATTCATTGGGACAAATAATAACAATGTTATACAATCATCAATTTTAAATAATAAACAAGAGAAAACAATAGAAAATTCATTAGATTTCAATCAAGATAAAAAGAATACAACTTTAATAAGTAACCATGATCAATCATCTAATCAAAATGTTTCAATCCATTTACATGAAGATCATAATATACAAGTTGAAAGTTCCAATTCATCGTACACAAAGAATTTGATCACTACTACAAATAAAACAAATTATTCTGAATCATCATTACCATGTTCTGCATGTCCAGATGATGATGGTGAAGGTGATGGTGATTATTCAATAAAAGCTAATAGTACACCAAATTACTTATACACAAATAAACATTTAATTAATCAAACTGTAAAAGGAAATTCTCAAAGTGGTGTCACATCTACAGATGTTTGTGAACACTTAAATGATTTATCCAACGTGAAGAATCAGTTGCTATGTGGTATAGCTTATTTTGTTTATGCTTTATCATTATTCATTTTTGGGTTACTTATATCCACATAAGTAGTATATAACAGTGGTCAGGCATAGAATGTATTTCAGTAGAAGATCGATAAGGATAAAACGGAAACGGAACGCAATTGGTAAGAAAATGCATGAACAATGAAATCTAAGACAATGGATTGATATTTGAAAAAGGAACAGTTAAGTTTGAGACGATGGGTTGATTGTAATTGATTGATCACTGGGTGGTGATCAATGTCATGTGTGTCAATTCCAGGGTTTCCTGTTGATTACCTCCAACTATCATCTAATCTCAACATAGTGCACGCAGTATCGAGTCACCTAGACTAGTGGCCTTAATGCAACTTAGTCGATAGCGTTCGATCTACACTAAAAAGCACTTGACACACATGATATTGATCACCACCCAGTGATCAATCAATTGTGATTACATCTCAGTCCTACAGGAGGTCGGTCTCGGACTAGATAGCTTAGTGGTAACGTCTCTGACTATGAGGTTGTGTGACACGAGATTGATTCCGTCAGAGAGCATCAGTCCTCTCAAGATTACTGGCACACCTTGCTGACGAGTGCCAAGTAGCACGAAAATCGGGTCCAGGGTTTCCTGTCGACTACCTTCAACCATCATCTAATCTCACGATGGACTGATACTTTGAAGATTAACGATTTATTATATGGTTCTCAGATTTTAGTGAGATGCTCTGTAATTTTGTTTTCAAATACATTCGATTGTCCCCACTCGTGTTCTTGTTCACAACAGTAGTACTTATCAATAGACAAACTGTTTGAACATTAAAACAAAATATGATTTTGCATAATTGAAAGATAAGCAAACAACGAGAACAACGAAAAAAGTAAAGCTTGATTAGTATCCTATCTCAATAGTGTAAAGGTGTTAAAGTTAATTAAATAAAGTTCTAAACAGTGAGATCACTACGTTAATGACAATTTTTGTTGACATTAAAATAATCTACAATTTATAGTTGCACCGGAGTGTAACTATTTAGCATACTAACTTATCTCCTAATATTGAAACTGATTATTCTTATTATCTTTAAATAATAATAACTTTCCTATATTTCATTAAGAATCTCATTAGTGAATAATGAGTCACTAGGAGAATCCCCATCTAACAAATGCATTATAATTTTTGATCATCATTTGATTCATCCGATATACGGTTCTCATTTTTATAAGAAATCTGATCAAAATTATAAGTATCATTATGAGAAACCATATCTGGTAAACTGACATGAGAAATCGGATAAGACACGCTGGTTCATTAGAAGCTTTTATCTTCTAGTGAGTTTGAGTGTCATTTGATATAACTGAGTTCATTGTACTGCTCCAGTTATTTTCTGGATACGAGTCCCTACATCTTGTTCGACTAATATCACGTGAACCATAACTTTGTTCTGGTTGAAGTTTATTTTCAGAGTTAGACGAGTTCAATAATACTTCATTTAATTCTGGACTCAGGATTTCATCTACAGGATCTTCTGTTTCTTGATCATCTGTTGTTATCACAACTTTATTTTCATTTAGCAAGATATTGTCTTGCTGTGAGCTAGCCAATTTACCATTTTTACATTTTGCTTCAGTTATAAAGGGATTTTAAACCTCCACATGACATGCTTCTCAAATGGCCGTTACTGTACCATTGTCAGCATCATAACTAGATTACTTATATTCTATAATATCTGGTTGAATAAAAATTCCACCCAAAACTGCTCCAACTAGTTGCTCTTGAATGGCTAACATCTGCTGTTGCTTTAATAATAACTGCAATTGTTCTAAAGAAATTGCCGTTCCTTTTTCTGCAAATAATTTTAACTCCCAAAACTACCGGCAACTATTATAGCTTATTTCTATTCAAAATCCTCGTCACGAATTTTTGTATTTTTTTTGCAAAATCCCTGTAGCTAATATGTTGTAACTTTTAAGTCCGTCAATCGAAATACGCCTTATTCACTCTTGTACTGTGACAAACCAATAATATTCGACCGGTCTGAACAGCCTTGCGTCCTTATAAGTCCTTTGTTCGCCTAGTCCGTTCAACTTCTAATACTGAAGCTGATTATTCTCAGTATATTTCATATTTTGTATTTCTTCTTCCTGTTCTTCTTCAAAGTAATATTATATACTACTTTTAAGTAATATTTTTTTATCTATTTAAACAAAGTTCGATAATGGTTAGCAGTATGATCTAAAACTGTCGTATCATCTTATCTGAGACTTATTAATATGATACATTTGAATCCTTCTGTTAATGTTTACTTTGTTTATAACACCTAGTGCATTCCTTATTCATTTAAATACTAAATTCACTTGTATATGAAACAATAAACAATTGAATTTTATCATTCAAGCAAATCCATCAAACTGTACTCTAGAAAGTATAGATTTCTTTATTTCATATTTGAATACACTAATACAAAAAAGAAATATTTATTTTCTAGGTTCTTGTAGTCAAGTGGTTATAAAGCATCAAAATGAAAGTGATTGCACACTATTAAAAAATCATTATTTAGAATGTTTTTTGGATAAAGAAGGAGATCATGTTAAATATGTGAAAATAAGAGCTGAATTAGAATATGGACAAATATATTGGTGTAAATCATGTATATTAATATTTGAAAAACCTTGGTCATTATTTCAGCATATGGCTGATAAAGTTAAACGAAGTAAAATTCAACAATTAGAAAGAAAACAATCACATTTTGATTGGTTAGATACTGTAGCTGGTTTAATGGCAGGTAAATAATATTGTTTATCTGTAAACTAAGTCTAAATTACATTTGATTCTTTGATAGGATCTGGGTTTTTTTTGTTTTGTTTTATGTTGGTATACTTATTTAATCTAATGAATATAGATTGATTGACTAAACTATACTGAAGAAATTTTACTGTTGAAGAAATATGAACATTTCTTATGAATGAGTTACCATGAATCCCTATTATTTAATAACATGGGATGGAATGGGACGTGATATATAAAATTGGAACTCATACCCAATTTAATTAAAGTTTCATCATCATTTAGGCTATAGTGTTATCATCACTTAATTTTGAATGCAGTAGCTAAGTGGATAACGTGATGGTGTTTGGAGCGAACGGTACTGAGTTCGAGTCCCAAAGTGGGCATCATCTCTGGGATGCAAGCACATTCAGTTGGCGAGTACAGAGTGTGACGAAACGTGCTTCCTGGATTCCACTGCTAGCTACCATCATCTCAGGTCATTCAATTTGATACAGAATTTATTACTTCAAACTTCAAAAAGATTATGAAATATTCGTCGGCGTATGAGAATTTAGACAAAACTAAATAGTTATGTAAATCCATTCTGTTTTCTAACCCATTTGTCTGTATTCTACTGAAAGTACCAGAGTACCGCTATTTACAATCTGTATTGTTTAGTTTCCAGTGTATATAATTACTTACAATATATTTGTACGTATTATAGTGAGAGGATAAAATGAACAAAGAGAAGTGATTTAGTACTGCTAATCAAAAGAGGTTTGATCAAGTCGATGTCATATCAATGAGATCAAGGTGATTTATATGAAACATGTTTGTGCATTTGTGTGTTTCTTAGTGGGTGAAAAATATGACATTTGTAATATGAATGGATAGAAGTGGATTTGTATGTATGGTAATAGTGTGAGATGTGAATAGAGTGAGACATGGTTCCTGGGATACAACAGAAGAACTCCAAAGAGTCTGTTCATATTATTATTTTAACATAATGCAATATAACTAACACCCTTCAAAACTCATTAGCTCGTATAAAGGATAAAATTCCCTTTATGTCAACACACAACTGTGTTTATAAATAAACGTTTTTCGATTGTGATAACTTCTGTACTAAAGTTATCTGGTGAAATCTCAACTTGATTGAGTCAAAAGAAAATTTTACGTACACATAAGTAGTCACCTAATAATCTTGCTGAACTCGGGAAACTTCGATTTGAATCAATTTTAACTACATGATATTTTATGATGAATGCAGAACTAAACTCTGTAGTTCGTTTTAATTTTCTATATTTTAGGTTATGATCTTGGTTTATTCAATGCAACAAAACTGAAAGTCGATTTACGCAACTTACTAACCGATCAACATACTATTGATGAAGAACTAGAGACAGTAGCTGCAACAGCAACAGTAGCAATGATGCAATGGCTCAACCCATTTATCAACCCATGGCGTTTACAACAACGAGAAGTGATGCGAAAAATCGAACAACTTAATAGGCAGATGCTTCGTAGAGTTAATCTGAGTTTAAAAACTGGATATAGCGGCTACAGTAAGAGAGCTGCACTACCAACTGCTCGTATATCTTTATCAACTAGATCATGTCAGACAAGCGATACGTATTGTGACACTGTTGATTCATTATCATCTACTCCTACATCAACAGTAACTGTGAACGATTTCAATTTGTGCTTGAAGAACAGTTTGCCACCAGAAACTTGCAATGATGGCTGCCCTTCGGAATCTACCTGTTCGGGGTCTGTTGAGCTTGATACTTGCGTTGTGTTGAGCGAAGAAAATATCAACGCAGAATCAGACGAGTGGAATAAATCAAGTGAGGACCAGCTTTGTTTTATCAAAGACAAAGAACATCCACTTTGCAAACCACTTGTGAATCAGATTGAAGCAGAAATGTCAACTGCGGGAGCTTTTGGAGAAGTATCACCAACAACACCTGATATAAAGCCAAAGATCACACAAAATAGTAAAAACGAACTGGACAGAATCGTTGAAATCATAAATTCAAATAACACAAATAGTGCTTATCCAATGTCACTTTTAAATGATATTAATACTAGTGAGTCAAAATGTGTACCCATTTGTAGAGGTAAAACGTCTAATATCTGTACCACTATGAATCCAAAGCATTTGAGAGAACCATTCAGATGTCATCATTTTGGCCGAAACTTTTGGGCATTTACTTTCGATCATAATGCTTTTTATAGATCTTATCACCATAATATTCGACGTAATCTGAATCGTATATACCATACAATCAATGGAACACCAAACTATGATATAAATAACGTCGATCCTCTCAGTTTTTTTGCTAGTCTAGAGTTCAATTTCAATTTCACCGATGAAGAAATAGAAGAATTACTTTCACAATGGACAAAACACTGGTATAATCAAGCGTCTGATGCACTTGGTATTCTAAAAAGAGATGTAGATCATCTGTTAGATCGATGAAATGTTTAATCATCAAATTTGTAATTGTCTATTTGTATAGTGTATTGTGCAGTTTGTGGATATGAATTGTTTTGTTTTCTTTTTCGTTTCATAGTTCATTTACTATAACCAACCAGCTTATTCAAATTGGCGATTTGTTATCGCTGTTGTGAATAAAATACATAATTATTTTTTATTTACATTGTTGTTGATTTATATAAGTCCTCGAAAAACAAATAATGCTTAACTTGTTTGAATTTCATTTGTCATAAGTCCCACCACTCCACTCCGTCTACAGCACCTGCTGCAGTAAATGCCGACCCGCCAGAACACTTCACTCGACGTCACCTCTCTGCACCAGACCGCCACAACTGGCGCCCCAGCTCCATGCCCACAACAACGCCCGAAGAAAAGCACACTTCCCCTCTCTTGGTTGGCGTCGACACCAAATGTAGTGAACATTGCTGAATTAGATAAGTCCTCGACAAAAGAAAATCATGTTTGACTTGTGTTGAATTTCTTCGTTCTTGATCCGTTGTTGTTGTAATAAATTATATAGATAATGGTTTAACTCTTGTCAGTGAGAATTAATGTTGATTAAAAAAAGACAAGATAAATACCATCTAAATACTTTGGTTGAGTTTCCACATCCATTTCAATAACCATTTCATTCTTCATTCAGTTGTGAATAAAACATTTCTTGTGACTTTTAAGTCCGGCTAGTTATCATGTACTTTATTCGCCAATCGAAATACGACTTATTCACTCTTGCACTTTACTAAACCAATAACATTCGACCAGTCTGATCAGCCTAGTGTCCTTATTGATCCTCTGCTCGCCTAGCCCGTCCATTTGAGTCTAGAACACCAATAACAGCTTCCTCCATGCGAATCATTTACTTCAAACATACTTGGTTTACATACCAGCCAACCATACCGCAGTGCATCATAAAATAGGAAATAACATTTATACAAAATAAAGCCTAAACTGGCTATGAACATAGGAGACTGTAGTCAGACAACTGAGTATAACATAACAACAGCAAATCGTATAATAATTATAATCGATAGGTCAAAATGAAGCTTATAATAAGAGGGATATAGATATACACAGTCTTGTTGCTGAATAGTTATACAATAACAATATATATAATATTAGTCCATTAATAGTTCTCGGAAGTTACTCATAATTTGATCTTCACTAGGATATAACAACACTGTCTCTCTCATTTCATTGAATAATTATTCTCAGTGAGAAACTCTTGAATGGTGCGCATACACGATCCTGAACGTGGAACTCAAACCCAGGAACTTTGGTCTCGTGTGTCGACTAGCTTTATGATGTAACTATTGGATTTGTTGCGAGAAGCGGTGACCGGTTAAATTCGAATTGGTGTCATGTGTGAGAGAAGCAGTTATCCACATCAGACAATGGATGAAGGGTTGCGCAACTTCACAGATTGGTTGAAATTAGACAGTTACTCTATTGTTTACCTGCTCACAATTCGGGAGGCCGAGGGAGTTTGGTTATATGCCCTCATTGTACAAATTTATTTGAGACACAGTCTTGCCTTTGAAGGTAGTAGTAAGGTCATGGGTGTGATATGGTTGATAACGGTCAGATGTGATTTTCACATCGAATCGTCTTTATCCACCAGTTGGACATACTCTTTAGACACCATATCCAAATGAGTTGTTCACGGGCTGCGTGGTTGATGGACAATTCCCCAACCTATCATATGATCTAATGTGTGAGCTAGTCTTTACGCTTTTGGAAATACAGATGTTCCTGTAGTCGTGATATGATGCATAACATTGTCAATTACACGCGGTAGTTGCGCTCGTTTATGTACAGTTCACGGTGCCTGTGGAGTATCGATTATACCGTAACTAGGCACAACCTACGACCAAAAGATAAGGTCTTCACAGTGAGAGGATTACAAGGTTATGTTATTTCTTCTAAGTTGTTAGCGGCTTGTCTTAGACAGAACAAACCTCGATAGTGAGGGTTTTGGTGATTTCTAAATTCTGATCGAGAGATGCAGATAGTTTGTTTGTAGCATTACTTTGCAGTGAGATGGTTAAATGTTTGTTTTTTCTCTCTGTCCTGTATTTTATTCTTTGTTTAGGTCTCCATTAATCTCACTTTACGTTGTTTAGTCTTCCTTGTCTGAGGTTTTATTATGTGCTCTTCCTTAGGGACTACTTACCTTTTGTTACTTAAATTACTGCTTCACATTGACGGACAATTGACGATAAGGCTGTGTTTGACTAAGCTCAAGGTGACGGCGTGATTCCATGTGTGACTGTGAACGTTTGACTGTCTGCTTGGAGAGAATGCTAGGATCCTTACAATTAGATATGTGATCCCATCTTGTTGGAAATACTTTTACTGATCCTCAAATGTCGAACTGTTTATTATTAACAGCTCTTTTGTTGCTTAGCACGCTAGTTTGTGTTAGAGAAGCCCTTGACTGTATGACATAGGCTGTGTCGTTTGAAGTGTTTTGTACTTATGACCTTATGACCTTTTCTCTTTCTCAAATTAAAACCGTTTGTGTTTTTACATCATACGAGTCAGTGAAAAACGCTTTGTGTGCTATACACAAGAAAGTAGTGCGTTAAAATCGATTAAAATTTGCTTCGTTAATTCTGTGTTCAAACGGAATATTGGCATTTCGTTCGTCGCAAATACACATCTTAGGTGTCACGTATACAGTGTATACAGTATGCACTGGAAGTATTTGGTTGATTAATAACTGTCATATTGAATATCATTAATTTCAATTGTTTTACTCAAAAAATTTTGAAATGTTTGCTTAGGTATTTAATCTCGGATATGGGCAGTTTCTTTCTGTTTTTTCTATGGTATATTCATATGGTAGTTTTGCTACGAGAATTTGAAAATTGATGGTTTGTTATGCAACTGCTATGATAATTATCAGAGCAATATGTTTGGGTTGATTACTTTTAATTTATGATGAATACCCCCTGGTACGTAGAGTGGAATTCGGTTCACCCGGTTATTTATGTGTTAAACCACGTGCGAACCAACCGAATATGCTTGAATAACAGGCTAGAGAGAAATTTAGACGTAACGGGATGGATGGAAATTTAGGTTTGAGTGAAATATGCCTTCACGACTTTGAGTGGCTAAGTTCACCAGGGTGGACATTCCGTGTTTGAAATGCTTGGGGTTAGTTGTTTGTGTGATTGCGTAGTCGCATGATTCCGCAGTTTATTCATAATTACTTAACAGTCCATTAACGTGTTAAAACCTAAAACGTCGCTCAAGGTCATTTTAAGTGTTCCACTTTTTTTGTTCAAACATTGGATTTGTTTTCAGTAATTGTCCATTAGAAAGCTTCCCTCTTACACGCTTCGTTTGAGATTGCATTAGGTTCCACAGATAATATAATATCAGTCAATTAAATTATATGCGATGATAGGGACTTACTATTTATTTTCGGAGGAAAATATGTAGCTTCATGTTCTCGAAAACTTTAGACCGCTAATTCTGAACAAGCTTAGCATGCTTTGAAATGATTTCCAGAAAGCACTTTAGAAACTTCCCGCCTAAGATAAACATAGTTTTACTGCTTTCGAGACTACTCACAAACTATATGCATGTCAAGAGATAGAGGATTATTATGAAGGGGTCATCAACGCAGGTAAGAATGGTATGAAAGTCTAGATTTTTCCATAAAAACAGTCCAAATTATTAGTAAAACGTACATTATCACGTACTTTTAATAAAAGATCAAGTCTAAATATATCAGTCTGCTAGTTTGTCATGCACTGACCACTTAGTAGTGGTTTATCACGTTCGTCACTCATTTAACAATATACAATTTAATGAGGTTTGTATTACTTTTCCTTCTATCCATTTTGTTGCAGTGATCTAGACAGCGCGTTTCAATGCAATGTTCAGGGACACGATTCCAGGTACAAAGCATATGCCGAAGTGATACGTTAGAGGCCTTCGATTGTCCGGTTGTTCGCATTCTAAACCATTTCATTGTATTAACGATATTGCTTAATGTGCATGATTGTCAAATCATGCAATATAGAGTTCTTTATTTTGCTTATGCTGATTTTGATAGAGCTGTTTATTTTGATGGAGTTTTGTCCTCTAAGCTGGACGGTTTGGTCGTGAAGCTTTCTTCGTTCTTCTGGACGACATCATCAGCACAAACTCCAGATAGAAGTGAAGCGTTGAAATTTCTCCACATGTGGTTCACAGAGTTTCCTGTAAACCTCGATGTTGATTGGTTCTTGTTCACCATAAACCTGTCATTGTTTACTTAATTGTTTTAGTTGTATCTCCCAGTGGCTTGATTTTTGTTCCTACGTTTGTGCGTTATTTTCCTGATTGGTTGATAAATTGGATCGATTTCAATGTGTTTGTGGATCGCTGATTGACCTGAGTGCCAAACTGCAGGCACTTATTTCACTGGAAAAGTGTGGAAATCTCGGATAGAGGAAATTACAAAAACACTTGAGAATTTCTAGAGGCTTGGCACTCAGGTCAATCAGCAATCCACAAACACATTGAAATCGATCCAATTTATCAACCAATCAGGAAAATAACGCACAAACGTAGGAACAAAAATCAAGCCACTGGGAGATACAACTAAAACAATTAAGTAAACAATGACAGGTTTATGGTGAACAAGAACCAATCAACATCGAGGTTTACAGGAAACTCTGTGAACCACATGTGGAGAAATTTCAACGCTTCACTTCTATCTGGAGTTTGTGCTGATGATGTCGTCCAGAAGAACGAAGAAAGCTTCACGACCAAACCGTCCAGCTTAGAGGACAAAACTCCATCAAAATCATTCACATGGGTTCAAATCTTCTCCACCATCTCAGCACTGTTTACTTGATAACTAAATCCATTTTATCGATTTAGTATTTCCGTGTTGTAACTTTTTAACCCAATCTCGTCGATATAAATATTCCTTCATTTGACCGTGTAACTTCATAATATGTATATAATACAGTTAGTTGTTGTTACTTCCAGTTTCAACGTTACCAAATATATTAATTTGTACGGTACTGTATGTCAGTCAGTGACGACTTTGATTCTCAATTAGCAATCAGATGTATCATGTTGGGCTCACCTATCAATATTACACAGATATCCAGTTTTGACAATACTTTTGTCTGTAACACCTTCATATCAAAGGGTACTGACCCAGTCAAATCAAAAGTTAGAAATGAAGGCATTCAATGATATATTACGTGGGTTGTCGATGTGTAGAGGAAACGTCCGGTGTAAGCTGGCTGGTTATTTTGAAGTATGTGTAGAACGGCGTACCAAAAGGTAACCTAAGTTAAAGGCGTGACCGAGAGTCTTCACCTAGGATAAGCCTAGTAAAATTAATGAGGTGAGCATCAGCGTTGAAGACTAGTATAATATTTTCGTGAATTCATTTAATGCTACAGGTTAGATCAATAGAACTCAGTCAATTACCTCTACGTCTGTTCAGACAACGTTTAATCCAGATTAATAATCCTCTAGTAATTACTCAAAGAATGTCACCACTCAATCAGATAGTTACCCTGATTTACATCTCAGAATCCAGACAACATACAAATTTTCATCCTAGTAATCGACCAATACGTGTAGGCAACTTTAAGCAACCAATACTAATCAAGGATGAAGAAGACTTTCAATCTGTGCCTGACGGCAGACCCGATACTAACTATTTCCGAATGAATAGGGGGTACATGGGAAACATGTTAACCAGCGTGGCACTATTATCATACTTCAAACATTCATTTATATAAGTACTTAGCAGATCAAATGGGTCACAGCAACGGTTAACATGGAACAAAAGTTTCATGGTGGGAAAAGCTGATTATTGAGTATACAAATAATCAGTTCTAGTATATAGGTAAAGAATGCTATGGCAGTAATTCACAGTTCAAAGGAAAGCTCAGAACTAAAGCCATACAAAAATAAAAATATTTAAAGGCCTAACAAGCATGCAGTCAATCTACATAAATCAAATCGTAAAGAACCAATTTCGAAAGCTTTTACCTCAAAGTAATGTCGTCTTTCACAACACATCGAAATACAAAATAATCAGTTTAACAAGTAAAGTTATAAGAACATGACCACATAATGGTTATTATGATCTCCCAAGACATTTGCCTATTACTGACTAGTGTGCCACGCAGTCTTACTGACAACTTGCTCTAAACGATGAACTTCTTTTTTGTAAACGGGTAGTGAGAAGTATTTGTAGATAACAGAAATCCAGTATAAAGACTGGACTTATATTTACCTCTCGTTCATTAGGCGTTAGAAGGCATTAGGTTGGCTGCAGTAGGTTTACTATCTAGTGAGGAAACACGGAGAGAGCGAAAACCTTATTTTCGAACACATAAAACTTTCAATATTAAATTCGAAATGATAAAAAATGTAAGAGGTACACGAACCTTTTTGATAACCTACTCTTACTTGACTAAAAATGTGTGCTGAAGTTGTAGTGAAGCAGGAAATCTGTGCATCTCGTTAGATGGATAAAAGAGTTTCATATTGGTTGTATACAAACAGTATTCAAAAATTTTAAGTTTTTTCCGAGAAATCAGTAATTAAATGGGTGGCAGAAAACGCAACAGCACAGTCATTAATTTGCGACTTTTACGTCAGTTATCTACTAAACACTATGAAAAGAAGATTACGGCATTAATATAAGTGATGAGAAATCCAACAAAAAACTGCCGAGTACAATGAGTATAATCATGTCTGTAAGTTGTGGTTGGCATACCTGAAACAAAACCTCACTTCACACTTCACCTATTTGTATTTCTGTGAGTGTAGGGTGTGCTAAATGCATGACTGATGAAGCCGTGAAACATCATTAGCTATCACATCAAATGAGTTAGAGGTCATGGTGAGACACGGGTTTAAATTTCGACCCACCGACATCCGGCTAGAGCGAAATGCTTTGGAAGGGTTTTGACGTTTCGAAGTACTTCTACACTGATAACAGTTTATTCATCATACATTATCTTGTGGTAGATTAAGAGTTGCATTGATCTTACCATGCGGAACACTAGTAGTTGATTAAGGATCCGATATTTCTCTTTGTTTCTTGAAATTGGTCATCGTGACTCAGGAGGCTCCGGATGATGCGAAATAAAGAGCCCCAGTGTAATGTGCGCAGTATGCATCACTCAACTTAAACACTGGTACTGAGTCTCCAACTAAATATTCAGGGTCACACTCCTACCCAACAAGTAAGTAGTAGGGGAAATAAGCATACTAAGGTGACTGTGAGGCTGACCAGTGGGGAGAAACAACAAGAAAATGGTTATTCCGTTGCATGATCGTAGTTTCTGTGGGAGCTAGGCAAACTACCGCTGTAGTGTGTCAGCATCCAGCCAGTGCTACGAATCTGTGTTAAGTCACCTCTGTTCGTGGTTCTGCTACATTTATCTACAATGTAGAAAAATACATCAACGGAACTACTGAAATGGGGCGCAAACCCCCATTTGAAGCATCGGTACCCATCCCAACAGACGTAATCAAGTGGTGAAACACAAGCTACTGCCAGTACCCCAGTGGTTGTTAACATTAACAAGCATTGTGTGAGCTCTGAGAAGGGAAAAAGCAAGAACATGGCTACCAAAACGCTAAAAATGGAAGACGAAAAAACCGGGTGAAACCTTGGATATTTTTATCGTTTCAGTTTCGAGAAGAAGCTTGCTAGAAATTCGGGCGGCACTTAATGAAGAACACTGGGCTATATGCAGCACAATGCTCGGAAAATGCAAAACCCCACCTAAAGTGTGTCGCTTGCTTATGGACTAGAATGTAGCCGAATGCAGACAATTGAAAGTAATTCTAGTTTGAGGCAGAATTTTCCTGAAGAAATCCTGCTGACATGCCAGAGACCATCGATTATGAGATCCTCCTAAATTTGAGTTAAATGCAACAAACCGCGGGTCATAAGGGATGCCACAAGATCAGTAGACGCACAAAAACCAACAAGAATGGTGGTTTACGGAGTCTCTGAGCTAATAGGTGGTGGTCAGAAGGAAGCTAAAGGACACAATGCACAACAAGGGCGTCAGGTGTCATTCGGCGAAAACCTTCACATCACCACGGTAATTAGTGTGTCCAGTAACTTCTTCCGCTACGATCCACATCTGATTGGTGTGAAATCCAAATAATGATAGAACCTAAATGATACCATTCAGGGCTCATACAGCTAGTAGATCACTAACCTAGATGACCTGCGTCGAACTCTAGAACCACTTGAAGGTTTGGGAGATATCCAACCAGCTACCGGATACGTATTAAAAAGACTTAAATTTCTCCACCTAGGAAAGTTAAAAAAGTGTGAAAAATCCAAATTTTAATCATGAATCAGTGCATGAAAACCTTTAGCTGTTCGGTGTGTGACCTATTCATGAAATCTGACAAACACGTACTATCTCTCTCTTGGACCGGCTATGTTTGATGAATGCCTCATAAATGATCAACATTATAATTACCACATAATAAGTAACAGTGTCCTATTCTCCTCCTTATCATCTCCTTTTTCCTCTTGTTCATTCAACTCCCCTCTTCCTACACGTTATCAATTATGTAAATTAAGTATTTACTCTTGAAACAACTGTCTCCTATTAAAGCTTGAATTATCACCTTATTATTTCCACATTGCAACTACCTGGCAATGTGATAGCTTCTGACATCCGGAAACCCGAACTTTTTGAGACAAACGCACTCACACAATCTACATGATAAATGAATTCACATGACTAGAATTAGTGAGGTCGGGTGGATAAACAATGACCAACTAAAGATTATTAATCAAGATTATGAAATACTTAAAACTATACAAAGACAGAAATAAGAAAATGCAAAGAAAGCAATTATTTGATACAGGCTCTTGTTAAATATATTGGATATTGGACTTTGAAGATGTGTTCACATTTATGAAAGTATGTGGATGTTATCGTTTTAAGATTAAGATGGTGTCCGAAGGGTCTCACAGACGCTACTTCGAGTAATTTTGGTTCATTTAGTTAAGTTTTATTTTTAGCCTTTTAAAAAAATCCACTCCAGATGGAAAGGTAACCTATAATTCAGATTGTAACCTAAATAGTTATCACTTTTCTTAGACCGAAGAACGTTCATAGATCATTTCAGCCACGTCGATCCTGTAGGTGAGCCTATGATTTTTTTAAAAAAATATTGTGTCATATTGTGTACCTTATCGCTTCAAGGAATTTGTTTATTGAGTCGTTTTTTTAAAAAATACTGAGTGTAGTTCTACTTGCGAGTTAAAATTCAAAAACAGTTTTATGATGACATACACCTGGCTGTTCACAGTTGATATTTTCTATCGGTATTTTGGAGGTGAAACTCATCTCTTCAAAGCTCGACAATTTTGCACGGTCATAGATGATGGAGCTGCACATTAATGTATAAATGTATATAACGTAATGAATATTGGAGTTTACATGGCATTTAAATTTATTATTTGTTAAAGTTAGAATTTATTGGTTGAAAATCTATTAAACATTGTATCGGACTCATAAGCAACTAAAATACTTTTATGTCTATATATCTATGTATTGATTGTGAGATAACCTTATTCATTTATTCCTGCTCTATATTCCAATTTTTCTAAAGTTTCCATTAAAAAACTTCTTCACTTTTAGTGGTGAATCCATAGCTTACTCTCTAAAGGTTGAAGTTCATTTAATGGTCGGTAATAAGTATGGGAAGGAACGAAACATGCAGTGAAGCCTCTGGATGTACTCGGTAATATTATACTCTGTTTGAGTCCACTGCCATTTCAAAAAATCATTTAAGACCTGGTCAAGTGCTTTCAAAAGGTACGGGGAAACACAATAATGGTGGTATATTAATCTTCACAACCTACTCGAACGTAGTTTATATCTTTTCACTTTTAGCTCCAAGTAACTCCACTTCTCATAAAATAAAATAAATGTGTCAAACAGTCTTTCTGTTAGAATCATTCTATTCTGACAGTTTATACCTCGGAAATCTACATCTTGATACGAAAAACTGGCTATGTTATGAATATGAAATTATAGTGATCTTCTGAGTAGTTACATGTAAGGCGATGTCAAATCTCATATACAATATATATATATATATATATATATATATATATATATATATATATATACCTTGACCAAGAATGAAGTTCGACTGTGGGATTTCAGTTGACACCACTCAGGTTGGATTGTTTGCAGTGGTATATGCACTAGTACATAACTCTAGTTATCCTCCGTCTGTACATTTTTTCTTGTATGAACACAACCATGCTGTGTATTTAGACGTCACTGACACTTAAAGAAACTTAGTTTTTATTAGCAATGTGATCCTTTGTTTCAGAAGAAAAAGTTTTCATAATAATCAAGTGATGTCTCTTAGTGTATAGAATCCTTCTTAGTTAAAATGCATTTCGGTTTAAGCTACGTAGTGCTTCCGGAGACTTACGGGTTTGTATACATCTTCCAAGCACCTCCTGCCACTCTCAAAACACTTACTTTCGAAAGGTGCCAAGTGACTAACCGGCCCTTTACATGATTCAACAATAAAAGTCAGGTCAGGCTGCAAAGTCTGGAGTAAGTACCAGTATCAAAGGTACAGGTTGTATTAACACACAATAATGGCTCCAAAGTACCTTATCATTATATGGTTAGAAATCAAACATTACGTCTGAAGTCTATTAAGATCCTGTTAACAACAAAGTACCAGATGATTTTTCTTTCAAATTTTAGTATGTTATCAAATTGCTTTCTTCTGGCCACCGATTTTGAACTTAAAGGTAGTATTTACGCTTTTCACCAATCATTATCCGTCATAATTTCGTTAGTGCGTGTGTATTTAATAAATAATGACTCCTCCGAGTGAGGTTTGTTTAAACGAAATAATTTCTCAGATAAACTTAATAAAATGATTTTATCCTGACTACCAATAAAATTCTAGAACATCGGTGTCTAAATATGCATGATTTTTACTTCATATATCTCATCATGTCGTGTCAAACTTTTTCCACTAAATTATACCTATCATGTTGACTTATATCATATGATATTATTGCTTATTTCACTAGAATGTTTGTGACTTTTTATGTTTTCTGTCACCATATTTATGTTTCACCCTGCAAGACAATAAAGCTACTTTTATAGTTCTTGATTGAAGTTATCAATTATCGATTTAATTAGAAGTAGACTATTTCACTAAAATTGGGCAACTATTTGAAGCTTTTTAATATGTTCTCCATAAGAGTTGGGTTGATTCCTTGAAAAATTTCTTTTTTATCATTTTGGCTGACTTATCGTACTTAAATCACGATGTTTTGGACAAAGATGATGGAACTCGCAACTTTTCGCTGTAAGATATACCCACATTATTTAAAAAATAAAATTTTAATTGTTAAACGAGGTCTTAATTAATATTAACTAAATGTCGAGTGGTTCCTCTTTTTTGGCACAGTTTGTACGCTTTAAAAAGAAATGGAAAAAAGATTGGTGCAGAATAATATGAATTCATATTATTTCATTAGGTTCTCATCAGCTGCTTACAGCCTAAAATATTTGAAAATCAAAGTTTTTACAGATATTGACATACTTAAAATACATTGGTGATCAGAGATGAATATGTGTGTCACGATCTTGCGAAGATTACAGTAGAGTTAATCAGGTCCTCAAAATTCTTGTTTCAGATAGATAAATGAAGTTTGGGAGGTGAATTTCCAGAACATTTAACTAGTGATTAGAACTCATGGAGTTATGGAGTGATGAAGTAACTGAAAACAGGTTATTCGTAATAACGAAAGATATTAATTGAAATCTGTCATTTATGAATTGAGGAAAAATGGCGATGATGTATTCAAACCTCAGAGAGAGTTGAAATAATGAATGACTCGATGCACAAGAAAGATGTAATGTTGCCAGGTCAAAAAAAAGATTTGTTACTGCTTCTTTTTCGACACATAGGCTCTTCGATAACATTCAGAAGATAAGAGTTTGATTGTTTATTAGTCATCTTGAAAGACTTCAGTGTATTGACTTGATGTATTGTGTCAAGGAGATGTCTTGAGATGGCACTGCGAAGTGCCTTCAATCCGTTTGACCCTAAACTTTTCGGAATATGTTCGTTTAATCAGGTTTAGACTATCGTTTCTCTTTCACAAGTGTAACTACTTTTTTGACAGATACATGTGACCTTGTACACACAATTTGTGGTAACATGAAAGAGATATACATCGATTTTTGATTATGTTAAAGATGTTGTTGTGGACTGGACAATCAGTTTAGCTTCAATATAGATTCTATTTTCACTCAATTCAAAATTTTATCTCCACTATCAAATAGCTATTAAATAACGAAAACAATACGTTTTGTGAAAAAAAGAGCCTTGAGGAGTAATGCATTAGTACTGTTTCGGTTTAAAAACTGCTAGAAAAAGCCCGTCAGTGTCCAAAAATTTCCGCGTTTTTATGATATCTCATTTATCTTGCCAAGCCCTGCCATTTCGATGTATTCTATGCATTGTGGTAGTACTAAGTCGGTATTACTTGTTAAGTTAAATATTTTGTAAGGATAGTTTAAGAATTGTTAGTGAAATTTGTCTCGTTAAAACCTCGACGAATTGCATTAAATAGTTTTGATGTTTTGTCATTCAGACTCCTTTTTTTAACAGAGTAAACTTGACCTAAACTGTCGAGTGGCTAAGACTTATAGATGTTTAGTTTAAATAAGATAAACTACATTTCAGGTCACTGAGATACTTTAGTAAAATCAGGGAACCTACCCAAATATAATCATAGTATCACATTAAATGTTTTTTTGCAATGTCACTTAAACACTTAAGACACAACGTCTGTGAGTCAGTTTACTCGAATTAATGTGTTTTGTTTAGCAAATTGAAATCTAAAATAATAATAAGCTGGGTAATTTAGAACTTGTTTTGGAACACTTTAAGATCCCCTCAACAATAATAAAACTGAGCCATCTGAGTATTGATTTCTTTTAGTACGACTTAAATAATAATTATTTAAACGATATTAATAATTGCAAATCGCTTAGATAAAAATGTAAATGTAAAGTGGTAGATAGTACACCTTTGTTGATATATATATATATATATATATATATATATATTTATATATATATGATTTAATAAATGAAAATGTATCGTACTGACTTCCAATATATGTTAACTAAAATATTTCTTTTCTTGTCAAGTTACCTAATTGTTCAACTTTGGTAGATTTGCTTCTGTGTAATTGAAAGAACATGAGTTCCGTCATATTAGTGGCTCGTTGGTCAAATGTATCTTCATCCCAGTCTTGATGGTTACAGTCGAACTTCAGTGCCAGATACAATAAGTTGATGTGAAGAAGACCAATTTTAAAACTATCGGATTATTTCAGACAAATGCCAATACTTTAACCAAATATGTAATGAAGCATTACTACTCATAAGTTTGTATCCTGGTATCTACAGCTGACTATGTCATAAAGTATAATATTATAGCCTTAGGTTATTAGAATTAAAATAGAAAAATAAGATTTACTTTAGAGTAAATTAGTCAATAATATTTAATAACTAAATAAGTAAAGTTTTCTTTAGACAAATACGCTGGTATAGAGTTTAATCTGTAACATAAAATTGAATGTTTGCTCCTAAATTCAATAGATAACTGTAAACTGCTTGTAGCTGTTATATCCATTAATATATATATATATATATATATATATATATATATATATATATATATATATATATATATATATATATATCATTTGTACAGCCTCGATAGGACATATATTTCAGAAATGTTATCCGGATAAACACACAAATGTGATCTCCTTATTTTCCGGTAATTTTGATTTTGTTTATCATATTTAATGTTTCGCACATCCCTTCCTTTGCTTTAATGTATGTTAATTTTTACAACGTAATTATTCTGTCTTACAAACTATATACAGTATAAATCAATTTCTCTTGATTAAAACTTATTTTAATGTTACACATAATAACATCATAAATTAAAATTACATTAGTTATGTGAAAATTTCAATGTATTGCTAGATTTAAGTTTGTTCCTGTTACAATGGTAAACGTAATATCATTGTTGTTTGGTACACAAATGAGTTTGGAAATGATTTATATGTGTTCAT